CTATCTCGAAGCGCTGCTCTCTTCCGACGTTGACGTACATTACTTTCATTTTCTGTAGATTGATTTTAAGACCCACCTTTCTACTCTCATTGTCTAACTCCGTAATTATGAGTTGCAATTCGTCCCCTGAGTTACTCAGCAATGCAATGTCACCGGTGAAGCGCAGGTTACTAAGGTACTCTCCATTAACTCTTATCCTTAACTGTTCCCATTCTAGGCTTCTGAAAACCTCCTGTAAGCATGCGGTAAATAGCATTGGGGAGATTGTGTCCCCCTGCTTTACACCCTTCCTGATTAGTATTCTGTTGCTTTCTTTATAAAGTACTATGGTAGCAGTTGATACCCTGTGGATGTCTTCCAGGATCTTTTTATATAGTTCATCGACACCCTTATTACGCAGTGTCTGCATGACGGCTGATATTTCTACTGAATCAAACGCCTTCTCGTAATCTATGACAGCTATGTATAGTGGTTGGCTATATTCTGAGCATATCTCTATTACCTGATTGATAAAATATATGAATGTGGTCGATTGTTGAGTAGCCTGTTCGAAATCCTGCTTGTTCCTTTGGTTGATTGAATTCTAATGTTTTTTTTTTACTCTGTTAGCAGTTACATTTTGTAAATAGCTTGTATACTACAGAGAGCAAGCTGATCGGCCTGTAATTTTTTAAGTCCTTGTCATCTCCTTTCTTATGTATTAAGATGATGTTAGCATTCTTCCAAGACTCTGGTATTCTTCCTGTCAGGAGACAGCTCGTAAACAGGGTGGCTAGTTTTTCTATAGCATCGATGTCAGCCCCATACATCGGCATAATAGGAAAGGCACTGCAACAAGCAATTGCCCCCCCCCCCTCCTATGAACGTGAGCTTGAGGGCCGGCTCGAACTTCAATCAGGGCTGCTGGTTGCAGAACCGAGTAAACGACCTCGTCGCGCTGTTTCCAGCGATTTCGGTGCCACCACATAGCTACATGTGCCGCTGTACAAATACAGCGAGTCCACGGCCGTCCGAATCGGGCGCGTGCGGCGGCCGTGGCGAGTCGCAGGCAGGCGGCCTTTCTGCCTTCGGATAACAGTAACGGCAGCACACATTGTCTGCAGTGTGCACTATCGAAGAAAGCCCTTTTGCGGGTATGTACGAAACCGAAGAAGACGGTCTGCACGAAAGGAGGCTCGTATCAAGAGCTTCGCGGTTACTTGGGAGCTGTTAAAATTGAACGCAGAACGCGAAAAGTCAAGTTTATTCCAAAGCTCGATCGAGCGAGCCCCAGTGATAACGCTGGAAAGTTCGATGCGCGTTCTAGCGATGACCAGTTAACCGACGGCCGACGCTACGGTTCCTGCCATCAGAATATGCAGTGGGGTTGCTGTAATCTGACTTTCCGTTTCCCGGCCACAGGCCGAATAAAGAGTTTCATCTTGAACACACAATCGTGGTACTTCCGCCACGTTACGACCGATGGTTAAGACCACGTGAAGATAAAAAGTAAATAATAAAAGTGGCTGGATAGTTTGTTTATTTGTTAATTAAACCCAGCCAGAAAGGTGGATCTCTGTCAAATATGTTTAGCTTTAAACATCCTTACGTTAAAACGCATGTGATAGATGATTGCTGCTTAAATGGTAAAAGGGATTAGATTTTCATAATTATGTGATTTTAATGCATTTTTGAAGTTTCTGGCTATTTCGTCGGTGAAATAAAAAAACACCTTGTTAATTTTTGTTCGTTTGCTCTTGCCCTTACGCACATTGTTACGCAGCTGTGCGATGCCTGTATGCGCCACGGTGCAGCAGGTGGTGCTACTAGCGTCGCGGACCAATGTTTCTTTCCCTCCCACTGCACCGCCAGCAAAGGCGCGGAGAGAGAGGAAAGGGGAACCGGTCCCCGCGTCTACAGAGTTCAGTGAACAATAATGTTAGTTGGTATCGATACTCTCGGCAAGACACTTGGGGCCTGCGTAATATGCATTGTAATTGTAATATGCATTGTTTAAGATGCGAAGCAGCTCTTTGACTAGCCTGTGTAACGCTGTCCCTCTCTGCGTCCGTATGAACACGCTCCCCTCACCGCAGCCTGTGTAACGCTGTCCCTCTCTGCGTCCGTATGAACACGCTCCCCTCACCGCAGGTGCTGGAGCGGTGCCAAGTAGGACATGCCGCAGCTGCGCTTTGGCAGAACCAGTCGGCGGGAGCTACGCTGGCGTCGGAGATCGCGAGGGCACGACCATCCAGCCTGGCGGATTCGCTCGGAGGATTTCAAGCTGGAAGGTCGTGCCCTCGCGATCTCCGACGCCAGCGTAGCTCCCGCCGACTGGTTTGCCCTCCGCGGTCTCCTGACGCCGTGCAGCTCTCGCATTGTGGTGCCCCGCCCTTAGACTGCTTCGACCGAATCCCCACTTTCCTATCTCTTTCTATTTTCCGTCGCTTGCGTCTCTACTTCTTCATCCATTTCCTTCTATTTTTTTTATCCCTCCTTACCGCCACCCCTATAAGGCACTGTGCCGTGTCGCCCCAGAGGCAGAAAGAAATTAGGTACCTTCTTCCTTTTCCTTACAACCACAATCAACCGCTTTGGCATCACGCTCCCCTCGCAGTGCGCGCTGACGTCACTCTATTCAACATAACATCTCATCGTTAGAATCGCGTAGAAAGGTCAGCAGGTTGATTTTTCTTCACAAGTGTCTAACCGGAAATACAAACGTAATTATTCCTGATTGTGAACGTCCCCACTCAACTAGGAAAACTAGACACACCCACAGTAGGTCACTCGCCCCAATTTTCGCAAGAACAAAATTGTATCACTACAGCTTTTTTCCTAGAACTGTGTCCGAATGAAATGCGCCTTACCCTCCACTGTTGTTGAGGCCAATGACTTTGTACGCGAACTGGAAAACTTGTATTGTGTGCCGTCATTGTAATCGATGTTTCTTTTGCGTTTCCTTTTTCTTATTGCTCTTATTTTTGCTTGTTCGCTGTGTTTGCGATGTTTTTTTTTAATTATTTTGTAATTATTGTGTAGCCCCTCCTGCATGAACCACACGGTGGTCTGCAGTATTTCTAAATAAATAAATAAATAAATAAATAAATAAATAAATAAATAAAAATCTTTCGCCTGCCATGCGCTCGCCACAGCTGCTGCCTCGTCTGTTTGCCCCCCGTGTGCTCAGATTTGGGTGCACGTTAAAGAACCCCAGGTGGTCTAAATTTCCGGAGCCCTCCACTACGGCGTCTCTCATAATCATATAGTGGTTTTGGGACGTTAAACCCCACATATCAATCAATCTGTTTGCCCGCAACATCTGCCGCTACCACAGCTCGCGAATCTTCCAGTGCTCACCGCAGCACCCGCGTTAACGCCATTGAAACCGTGCGCAACGCCACTGCCTCGAATCCCGTCAGCGTTTCCTTTGAGAAGAAAGTGTGGATTTTGTACTGTTTAGGGTGTTCCATCAAATAAGTACTTTACATTGTAACAGTATTGATTTCATCCGTGTTAACAGTTCACGCAAATGTTAGACACATATATGTATGTAAGAAAATTACGAAGTGCATTGCGCGCAGGCACAGTGATAAAAAAATGGGCTGCCATTTTCGAACAAGTACAGCAATCAACGTAACAAACGTCAGGGCTGTCTAGTATATATCAGCGTCGGAAGTGCAAATATAAGACCAGAATGAAAAAAAAAAAAAAGATGGATGCAGAAACGGTAAGCAGCGGGAGTTTTGTGCAAAGCTTTACTGAGCCGCGCAGTGCTCTTATTTCTCAGCGCCATTCAAAGTTAGTGCCGCCACCCGTACAGCAGTAAAAGCAGCAGCGCATGCGGCAAATATAACTATTTTTAAAAGAGCACTTGCAAAGAAAAAAAAATCACTTTTTTTGCAGTAAGTAGCTACTTCTCACGGCTGCAAGCGTCGTTTGCACTAGTGCGCTACGGTTATTCATTTATTGGCATTTTGAGAGCGCCCAGTAGCAGTTTCAATTTCAAAAAGCACCCAGCTGGCCAGGAGAAGTTCGGTAGCAAGGTAAACACAGCTGGACACGAACGTGACGACGCAAAACTGGGACGTGGTGACACGGGGCCCATTCTACAGTTAGAGTGTACTAGAACTGTACGGCCACTGTAACCAGCAAATGAAAAGCCGAAGGTACGGGGGAAAAGATCGCAGGTAGCGCAATATGCCAGCAACCAGCCAACACAAACTCGTGACGTAGGTTTGTTTACACTGCCACCTCGTCGATGTCGCAGTCGTCACAGTCTGGGCATGTCGCTCAGTCACGTGGCCTAGCTATATTGTCATTTGATATGTCTTAGATGTAGTGCATGTCTCAAAATAACTATATCTTATTTATTGCCTTGCCTTCAAAATTTATGTCAGTGCTGTGGATGGCTGTGCTAGTCTGGAAGAATTCGTGTTAATAGTGCTCGTCTCGTGTACTTGCTCCTCACTGGTCTCATTGTTTTTTTGTTTTTTTGTGCTGCCTGCTTTCGCAGAGAATATTGAAGTTCATTCGGGATGCCCGCGGCACTCACTTGAACAGCGCTCTTGCAACTTGGTAGGCGTGCCACATTCCCACCACCACAGTTGCCTTAAAAACAAAACCGAAACCAAATAAATGGGGCCTCATGGAAATGCTTTTCTTGCGTAGTAATAAAAAAATCAAAGCTAAAGAACTTCAGACTAAAGCATATAAGAGACACTTATGACTAGCTTCACACGCTTTTACACTGTATAAATATTGCGACATTGTTTAGAGTACGAGTACTTGCTCAAAGTGTTTACACCGCCATATAAAAATGTCCTGCCAACATTTTATTTTTAGGACGACTTGCCTAACTATTGCTTTGAACATTTACGGTTTATCAATACACAACTCCATACAAAACACTGAACGTCTCCTCTGGAGGTGCTGGTCATAGTTAATTTTAGGAAATGCTGGTACACTCTACCGTTGATAAGTTTGTCACAGCTCGCGCCACCTAGTGTGTTATTTGCTTGTTTCGTGCGAAGTTTTGTTTTCACCAGCGTGCTAGTGTTGTTGTGAACAATTGAGTAATAATCGACTATGCGTACCTCCGTGTGCCTAGAATCGAAGCTGCGGACGCCCGCCTTGTAAACGGAGGAGTTCAACAATGTGGTGTGCCATAGGTCAACAGCCACCGAGGTTGCTTCGATCTGGACTGGTTAGTGTCCGAGCGCCGCTCATCCTTTCGCTGGCCATTCACGCTGTGCTGCCGCGTGCTTATGATAACGTGATCGAGCTCTCGTTTTAATTTCACGATGTAGTCCTTCCATCGGCTCTGCATGCAGCGGCGTGATCTCGCTTGTTTGACTTCTTGACTAGAGTTAACAGAGACGTTTAGTGCCTCACTTCCCATCGCTTTTTGTTGTGCGCGCAACCATTGCTCTCGCGTGTTTTACATTCAGATCGCTTTATGAAAAGCCTCGTGGTGCACGATCCTAGCGAACCGCACGCGCTCGTAGTCTGGTGATGCTAGTGGTGTGAAGAGAGGAAGAAAGGCACCTAATTTCTGTCGGCCATAAGGCGACACGGTGCACTGCCTTGCTCGAATTTGGCGATTGCGTATCGTTCGAGTACTTGTGCCCTTTCCTGCGCCTTGCATTGTGCCCACTCCATTATTTTCATCGCATCTGTGCTCATTACAGTAATGCAAGATGAATCCTGAAGACCAGGCTCGTCTCAAAGGTATTTGACTATTTGTTAAAGTCCTTACTTTACCCATGCCAATATGCTTTTTTGTTAAATTTGTGCCGCCTTTCATTAACTTAACCGTTTTACACGCAATATTCAAACCTCTTTTGCTTATAAAAATAAGGAACACTTGCTTTTTACCAGTGCATTTATAAACTTCGTTCATCTATTAGTGTGCTAGCTTTGCGATCTTCGTGAATCAGTACAACAATTCAAGAGGTGTGTCCGATGGGAATCGGCAGGGGGAGCCATAGATGCATGGCATGGTTTAGTCACTTCAGTAATCCCGCCACAGTGATCGCTACAGGCTTGCTTATTTCAGCCAAAAAGAGGACGGGTTCAACAGCCGGTGCTCCTGATGTCAAGAAGCCAAAGCATGCAAAGGTATGTGCCATCTGCCCGAGTCTCTCATAGGTGCACCATATATTGTACAGTAACCTCCAAGCTAACTTTGTACTTGAACCACGAAAGTTCCCAAGGAAACTTGTAGTAGGAGAACTGTTCCTAATGTTGTCATGCTCACACGCTATAGGGAACCAAAAATCTTCGGGTGACGCCACCGTTGCGTTGACCTCCGCGCCACCAATGGAGATGTCGCCAATAACACAGGCGCTCTACCGCGCGTCGGCGTCCTTCGAGTCTTTCTTTCCGCTGATGCATGCGATCGTCACCGACGTCTTGTTTTCTTGCAAAGTGACAGCTCCCACCAAGTTGCAGCGCGCAACAGCATCATCTGCGTTTGCTCATGAACTTCTTCAGTCAGCAGCACCTGCACACAGCGTTCAAGCTACGCGCAATGTCGCGTGTTGTGTATTGAGGTTTCGAGCCTGTCAAAGGCCTCTACAACTATTTTCAGCCGTCGCTACTGCCGACAGGACGCCGCTTGCTGGGCAATAACCATGTGTTCGGCGTCCGAGAGGTTGACAAGACTGCCGAACTTGCCGAACTCAAGCCGAGACTGCTTGAGGAGTCCCCGAAACTGAAATGAATAAAATAGGAGTAAGTCCCATCAACCAGCTGCAGCTGGTGTAGCAGTGTCAATCAATGAAAGGGTCATGATTGAAACAATAAAGAAACACACTGCACATTAAAATTATCTTTTACGTCATCCTAAGTTCACACATTTCTTAAGTTTTCTCTCCTGCTTGAGTGGCGCAAAATTTTCTCGCATTTTCAAAACAGTCGGGGATGAATAGCATTAATGAATAGCGCAAAAGTATTAGCGGACAAGAAACACGCATGACAGGGCAGGTCCGTTGCCCTTTCTTGTCCGCCACCGTCAATCACAACAACACCATATAAAGCATGCGGTGTCAAAACAAAATCAAGCGCGAACAAAACAGAGAACGGCTTCCAGTGAACATGCAATTTCCCATTTCCTTGCGAAAAACCATACGATAATTCACTTTTGCCTAAGTGTAGTGCGATCGTCATTAACAAAAAAACTAATGGTGTAAGACGGCAACTTGGTGCGTCGCAAGCTAGCGCAGACATGGTGTTGCATGTCCTTAATTTCATCAGGACGATATCCGCAATTTTAGGTCAAAAATATCAACCTACAAAAAGTGAGACATTTACAATACAATAAACTCACATTAAGCAACCCCCCGGGTAAACTACCCGCGTAAAAACAAAAAAATCTGTTACCCGAATTCGCTTCAAAATAAAGATGAACCTCATCCTCGGCTGCTTTCGCAGTGTGTAGCGAAAGCAACACACGGCAAAAGAGGAATTCGTAAAGGGGAATTCACTCACTTGACTCATCGCACCGCGACAATTCACTTTTGCCTTCATGACTTCTCCCTAGGCTTAGTCGGGAAGCTGTATAGCCTCACTCACGCCCAGTGTCCCTTCGCAACTGTAGCAATCTTTGACCGAGCAGTACCTGCGTCCACTTTTCTTCTTGATATGGAGTCGACCAGACGGTTCTGATGGACGGCAGCTTGGTGCGTCGCAAGCTAGCGCAGACATGGTGTTGCATGTCCTTAATTTCATCAGGACGATATCCGCAATTTTAGGTCAAAAATATCAACCTACAAAACGTGAGACATTTACAATACAATAAACTCACATTAAGCAACCCCCCGGGTAAACTACCCGCGTAAAGACAAAAAAATCTGTTACCTGAATTCGCTTCAAAATAAAGATGAACCTTATCCTCGGCTGCTTTCGCAGTGTGTAGCGAAAGCAACACACGGCAAAAGAGGAATTCGTAAAGGGGAATTCACTCACTTGACTCGTCGCACCGCGATAATTCACTTTTGCCTTCGTGACTTCTCCCTAGGCTTAGTCGGGAAGCTGTATAGCCTCACGCCCAGTGTCCCTTCGCAACTGTAGCAATCTTTGACCGAGCAGTACCTGTGTCCACTTTTCTTCTTGATATGGAGTCGACCAGACGGTTCTGATGATGCCATGGGGGCTTCAATTACAGGAACAGGCGCAAATCTTTCGGACGCGAAGGACAAGTGCGCGAAAAGCCCACGCTAGATCCACGCTAAACATGAGCAGCAAAGACTGGCCTGCGCGTGCGAATGCCTTAAAGCTTATTGTTTGGGCCGCCAGGTGGCGCGCCCTGTTCTTAAAACTGCATTGCAGGTTGTCTATTGCATCCACTGTGCACTTGGGAATAGCTCGTTAAACAAATCAGTCTTTAGTTCTTATTCAGAGATGCTTTGTGGTAACATGCAATGACTCATCAAACGCTATTTAGGGTTTCGTAGTTATAGAAGGGCACCAGATATTTCATGCCACTTGCTGTTAAGCAGGAGGTTGCAAAAGAGTTTGATACTAACTGCAGTGGCTGCATTTAAGGGTAGATTTGTGAGACTAAATTTCATGCAACTTGTATGGTTACATTTAGATAACAAGCAAGCTAAAGAACTCAAGACTGATCAAGGCATAGTCAGTCAAGACTAATCGACTGTTACATCACTTGGTGGTAGTGTTGCTCTGTTACGCTTAATGTATAAGTAATTATATCGATCAGTAATTGATGCGCTTTGTTGTGTGCATTTTTAGTACAATTTGTGTGAAGTTTGCCACTATTCTTACTAGAAGGCTCATAGTTTGTCAAGGACAAGTTAATAGCTGTGCTTTGAAACTGTAATGAGCATTATGACTTTCACAGCGCTCTCACATTGGGTTTTAAAGGGCCTCTAACAACACGGGGCCGGATACAGCCACTCATTTTTTTGGGGGGGTGGTTGCCTGAAGTAACATTGGAGAGAGGATGTGGTTATGACTTTTTGTTTCTGCTAGCAGAAAAACCCCTTCGTAGCATAAATACTGTTAATGTGTGCTCACAGTGGTTTCACTCATTTGTCCTAATTGGGGATAGGAGGTGGACTAAATCACTGAAGTGAGGGGGGAAGTGCTGTCAGACACTTGGGAGGGGGGATCGTCCCTACCTTTTGGATCCGCCATTCTCACCACGACGAGTTCAAAGACGAGAGAGTGATTCCTTTCTCACCTTTAATACCCTTCACAGAGGCTATGCCTTCTCATAAAAACACAACGAGCTGGCTCAATTGTGCCCGCGTATCATATGCGACAAGACAAGGGGCTGCCAGAAGCAGCACATAAAACCCTTTTAGGCGCTGCACACAAGGGGTGGTATATGAGATAACCCTAAGCTGTGGCAAGTTCTACATCGAACAAACGGGAAGTTGCGTCTATGATATATTGAGGAAGCGGGCTAATAGCTTAGGCAAAAGAGATCACGCTCATCTTCCTGCGCACTTTAACGCCTGCGGATGGGAACCATGGTTTTGGCAAGCAGTGATTCTCAGTAAGAGTAGCAAACAAACAGCTAGAGAGCTCTTGAAAGGATTCTTTTTATCAAAAATAAAGGGTCTAATTGTATCACCGAGACATATATAAGGTATTCGACAGAAATGCGTTTTTTCGATAGCATATTACCTTGACCATGTCGCTGTACATCATTGGTTGGCTGTGCACACACGCTCGGAAATGTCTTCTTCTTTCCTGGACGTTTCTTAGACTGTTATTAAACATTTGGTAGTTGGCGCTGCTCTTTCTTCTCTCCTGCTCCTCTCGTTTCACCAAATGTCTTTTTGCACCTCAGTCATCTGCACTAAGTAAGCACCAACTTGCCCAAAAACAAGTCCTTTTGGAATACCTTTTGCTAGTTGTTTTGAAGACACAAGATTTTGAGAGATGCAAGTATTTTCACTTCCCTTTGAGACTTGCGCCTTTTACTGTAGTTGGGGAACCGGACCCTCGGGTGTTCAGCCACTCCAAGTCGGCATGAGACTTCGCTATGGCAATGTTTACCGACCCCCCCTACCCCCTTGTTTTTTTTTGTTTTTTCTCGCTATGTCTTTTGGTACAGAAAAAGAAAGGGGGGCAAATAAATCAGCTCGACACCCCCCTTCCATCTTCTTGTTGCAAAAATATCTCAGATTCAGAATACTTGAACTTGTCAGGTATGGATTGGCATCGACCTGACAACCTCCCCATTTACGAAACAGTAACTTGGCATGAGTTGATATGGTTTTATTTTTCATAACTGCATCGGGAATAGTTTTACTGCATCAAACCACAAACAAAAAAAAGAGAGAGATTCGTAATGCTCTTCAGTGCTGGCTCCTTCCCTATTGTGCAAGCAATGAAGCAATAGTGAGCATAAGTGCAGACTAAAATAATGTTTCTTATAATTGCAATATTCATGTACTATATAAGTGTAATAAAAATGAGTCAAATTTGAAAATTTTAAAGTAAAATATTTCAGTATTGCATGCTGCTTTTAGACCTTGAAATACCTGTGAACAGGTGCTGGAAAGTCCTTGAATATTCTTGAATTTTTGCTTTGGAAACCTGTTTGAACCCTGTAGTCACCTTCAGTGTTACTATCAGCCTTACTGAGATTCACGTTTATACTCAAGTCTACTCACTGGTATTCAAAGCAGTGTTGTTCATACACTGTTTCAATAGTTATCGATTAGAGACGTGAATTATGTAGGGAGGTGTCTTGATCTCTCCCCCCCCCCCCTTCCTCCAACTCCTCCAGGGAATATATCTTGATTATTAGATATCTTATGCTGTCATATCTTCCAAAAAAAAATAATTTTACTGGTTTGGAAGCATTCAGAACTCGTTTTCGAATATACTATGTCAAACGGCCCCAAGAAGAGCACCGATTACGTGAGACATTGGCGTTAAAGAGCATTGACACCACGGTTGAAGAAGTGAATTGCTGGCTGACAGACTCATGAGTTGACCCACTGTCAGACTCAGATCAAGCCGTGAGTCCGGTTGGAGAAAATTTCCGTGAGTGTTAGTACGAGCGAGTGCTGCTCAGGAAAATTTCAGTGAGTCTGAGTCCGAGTGAGTATAAAGCGCAAAATATATTTCTTGAGTGTGTCTTAATGAACTCCACAAGTTTTGCCGACCTATGGTCCACCCTGCAGCTTCGTGACACGTAACCCTTTCTTAGAACAAAAGATGGGAATTTTAAGGGCTCGGTTCTTTGCTTGATGTAGCCAAGCGAAGTATAGAGGCTGTTAACTGTACTGTTTAAATTGTATTGTAGTGATTAAGGTATAAATGTCAAGAAAGTAAAATGGCAAAAAGACAACTTGGCACCAGCAGGGACAGAATGTGCAACTTTTGGATAACAAGCCCGATGCTTCACCAAATGATTTGCAGCAGTGGTCATTGCCTTGACAAGCATTCAAGCCTGGGAAAAAATGGCACTGCCTGACACTTTAAGGTTTGCTTTCACATAAGCCCGAGGACAAAAGGACAACCGACAAAAGAACAACCGTAGCCATAGCTCACTCGCTACGGTAGCACTGTTAAAACAGTACAATTAACATCTCCTCCACCTTCCTTGGCTTCATTTCCTGTTGGGTTTTCATTAGCGTGATTCTATCTGTGCCTAATATTGAAACTGGTCCAACTCTGTGACAGGAGGGGGGGGACCGCTTCTGCTGGATATGCCACCGAGAACCGTCGACGCTGTGGTGCGTCACGTGTCCGCGCAGCTACCACGCCTCGTGCGTCAACCTCAAATTCAAGAACCTTACCGACTGGGTCTGCCCCGAATGTGTGCGCATCATGGCGGCCGAGAACGTGGACACGCGCTCTCCTTCTCTCTCCTTCCTCACAGTGGACGAGTTCTGCAGCCTGCTTCAGTTTGCCGTTCAGAGACTTAAGAAGCACACTGTAAGTAGTTACATCGATGCAGACGTGATTGACAGGACAATTTGTTAGCTTAGACAACTGAAGAAAAGTTGCGGCTTGCTTTAGCATAGAATTCACCCTTATATTTCTGTCATGCACCTCGGTTAACCTTGGAAAACCAAAATCCGTAGCTATTTGGAGCTCATAAGCTGTCATTTAAGTGCTCTGACGGCTAGCGGTGGCTTTTGCATGGGAACATTGGCCTTAGCAAGCAGCACCTGTTGCTGCACGTTAGGTGTTAACACGAGTGAAAAGAAATTACCTATTTCTTTAGCGTTTAAACACTTCACCTCTTTGCGCAGGTACAAATGACCGTATCTTCACTAGTGTGTATATAGCCTATTACATGTGGTTGAAACATTGTATGGAGCGTAGTAATTACAGATACCAGCAAAAAGCAGTGAAACAAATGGCTTATTGGCAAGGTATAGTGCTCCTGCATTGAATGTCAACATCTGAATGTTGCGCAAGGTATCCGCGTCGTGTTGTTACGAATAATGGCCACTAGAAATTATGTTGACTTAGCTGTATGGGCTCGAGCCAAAATAATACCACTGGGACAGAATGTGGTGAAAATGAAAGTATGTGCATTACTTGGGCCTAAGTTGTTGTGTTTCAATATGTGAGTGCCATAGCTTACTATGCGCATGAATAAATTTCTAAAGGGTTACAATTCAACAACCTAATTTAGCATGGTAGCTTTATGAAGTTCTCAAGATTCTTTGTTGTTGGTTGTTGTACCACTGTTGAAGAAAAAAAAAAAGATTAGAATGGCTACCAAGACCAAACTTTGCTCTTATTGACCTGTGATAAGTTTAATTATCTGCCAGATATTTCAAGAAGCCAAAGCTGTTCGAGGGAGATACTGAAACTTTAAAAACATGGGGCGTGCCTGTTCTGCACTCATTGAATGAAATGTGACTGAGAAATATTCAATTAGAGCACCCTCATATCTCAAAAGTGCAATGTTATGCTGCTACACATCTGCTCGATGAAGTATTTTGAACGCCAATCTACACAAGCATTAATGCCACAGGCACACTGATCTTACACAAAGCGTGGGTCACAGAAACATGTGTGCTCCAATTCACTTGGCCTAAGTTTACTCATACTATAACCCCTGTATTCAGAAACACTGCTCGACTTGAACTTGACTTTCCACCGACTTCAATGCAGCACAAACGCGTTTGGAATGCACTGTCTTTAGGGGGTGCCAAGGCAGCACAAATGCACAGATGTATTTCAAACGCGCTGCATATAAGGCGGTTTCAAGCCGAATTCAAGACAAGGAGCGTTTCTGAATACAGGAGTGAGAATAGGTAATAAGGATGTACAGCAACTGCTTGCTGTATATTTGGATTGTGTGCACTGATCAGTTCAGCTCTGAAGATCAAGCTTTTGTCTTATTTGTGATGTCAGCTAGGGACACTGCAAACAGTTGCAGGTATATGCACTGTGCATATGCCTGCAACTGTTTTGAGATGCAATTATGATTTTAGGCAGCTTTAAAGAGCTTAATGGAGGGACATACATACATACACACACACACACATACATACATACACGCCGTAAAATTGAAGGGCTCCAATGTTGCAGACAGTTTCTTTGAAACGGTTGGGCATTACAGCAAAAGAGGATTTGTTATTGGAAAAATCTGTGTGCTCAGGCAAGCATCTAAAGTTGAGAGCTACCTGGTCGCACCATGTTCTTTGAAGAATGCCCGACCATTCTATTGTGGGGCTCGGAAAGTTTCGAGCGTCCGTTGGCGAACGAATGCTTAGAAAGCCGCAAGCCTAACCCCCTCGTTTCAATCCATGTTTTCTAAGGTTCGAGCAGTTTAGAAACGTGTTTTTGTTGTTGCAGCACGAAGCATTCTTGAAGCCTGTCTGCACAAAGACGTACACAGCGTACACGGATTATGTCAGTAACCCCTTTGACCTCAGCATACTTGAAAAGGTGAGCGCAGCTGCTGCATTGAGCAGTAGCAATATTCTTCTCATTCGGGGCTGTCTGTCCTTTCTGTTTCATTATTTAAAACTATTTTTGAACTCTTGTAACTTGCAGAATGTGAGGTGGAAGCATTATGGCTGTACAGAAGCCTTTCTCAGCGACGCCCGATGGATTTATCACAACTGTATTGTATTTAACGGATGTAAGTTGCACATTTCGTTTTCCTCTTTCCTTCCTCCCACCGTACAGCAGCTTTTTAGGTGAAGTGTTGTGCTGCTAAGGTTGAGAGCGCAAGTTAAGTTCTTCGTCACAGCGACCACACTTCAATGCAAGAGCACCAGTGTAGTCAGATGGAGTTGCAAATAAGAAACCCCAGGTCGTAAAAATTTATCTGAAGTCACCCAGTATGGGTTGTTCATGTTTATGTATATCGTCACATAATTGGGACGTTGACGAAGACAGTGGTCAGTGTTTCCAAGATTAAACTCTTTATTTGACTGAACTTGTGGCCAGTGAACCGAAAATCGGATTACAGCTGTACGCACTGACACTGATAGCGGCGAACTGAGTGTCAGCCGTTGATCAATTTATCATCGTTGAGACGCGCCGTGTTTTATACACATGTGTCGAGCTTTCCAGCCTTGTCACTGGTGGTTGCGCAGGCCCTGGAATAATCTAGACTGTTTGTGGCGTCCTGTGTCGCACAGTCTCAACAAAATGATCTACTACGAACGAGAAGCTCCTCGAACACTGAAGCGCAACATGCGCCAAGTATTGCGCACGGTGTTTGTGGGTTTAAACTGAGCACATCAAAGTAACACGCATGGCAATATCATGGTTTTCGTGCGTGAAACCGAGAAAGTCAAGCTTTTGTTGAGTGTATTTGCGAAAGAAAGAGAGAGAAATCGTAAACATGTTGAGTGGCTTCAGTATGAAATGGAACGAAGACAGTGGCAAAAAAGAGGCACACACTCCAATACTCTCTAACCACTAACTTTATTAGCAGAAAAATGCATATCTAAAAAGCATTACCTGTACTATGTAAACACGTGCCAATGACTTTATCAGAGGATAAGTGCAAGAGATGAGAGGGGTGGACCAACCAATCAACAATTTGCATCTACTGACAAAACCACAAAAAAAAAAAATTATGTGTCATGCAGGACTATCGAAGGCATGCTAAAAGCAACTGGTGCCTTTTTTGGTGTGTGTGTTCTGTGGTAGCCCGATTCATATAAGCAAAAACACTCAATTATAGGTAGTTGACATAATCGTATGCAGCTTTTTTTTTGCTTTTTTCAATATTTTAGTGGCAAATGATTCTCACCTGCTATTACTGTCTAAGTGTAAATGAAGAGCATAGGACAGGCCAAGTCATTCTGATATCTATCGAAGCTCGGCCTCACTAGATGTGTAAGAGACACGTAGTGATGCTAAAGCCTGGATGAATGTATTCCGGCAAGTTTAGCAAACTGTCAAAAGCATTCGTCTTTAGAGATGGACACACGGTCATGCTTCACTTTTTCAGATAACCATAGGCTTTCCATGAGTGCCAAGACACTGATGAAGGTGTGTAAGCAGGAGATGGAAGAGATTGAACTGTGTCCAGACTGCTACAGGAGCGTCAATACTCAGGAGTCGTGGTTCACAGAACCATGTGTAAGTGTTTATTTGTTTCAATTATTATAATGAAGAAGATGTAGCTTCAACTGCAGCAAGAAAAATAAAAAATTTTCTAAGTGGTCACAGTTTCTAGTGCCCTTCCCCACAGCATCTGTCATCATAGATGTGTGCACAAGGAGGGCTGGGGATCTGGCCTCCCCTCCAGTGACCTAAGAGGGGCAGGCACAGTCAGCCCTACACACTGACATAATAGGGAAGTGGGTGCTGGAACTCAGCAGGGGATCTTGTCTCTTCCTGAAGGGGAAGCCTGTGTACGCCTACGTCAGTCATAATGATAAGGTTTTGGGATAGAGAACTTGAGCAATTATTATTATTAATTCCATTCCGTGGACAAACGAGCATATCGTCGTTCGTCCACGCTCTTGCTGACCTATGACACAAGGTGTTCCACCATAAGCATATTCTTTTTGTTGCTGAGCTGAGTGCTCAGTAAGCAAGTGCTGTTTTGAGCATTCTTGTCATGATTTTTTTCTTTTTTTCATTCCTCTCTTGTTTTTCTTTCAGTGCCACGGTTTGTTTCTTTTGTTTTCTTTTTTTTATCCATGTATTTGCTCATCGGCATTTTCACCTGCAATACTTTGTGTTTTTTGTATTATACTGTTTCCAGTACTTCACATGCTGTAAATACTGTTCAAGACAGATCTCTTAATTTTGTTTTTCCTTTTTCTACAATGGGTATTCACAGTTTGTTACTTTTGTCTCTTTTAGCTTTTTGTACAACCCACTCCTGCTAATGGATTGCAAAGCAAGCTGGCAGAAATAAATAAATGGATAGATAAATTCTACTTTAAAAATTTACAAACAATTCTATCATGGATCAAGATTGAACTAAATGAGCTGCATACTTTGCCACAGGTGTCCTGTATTGGTGACATTTCCCTTTTTTTTGCATTTGAATAATTAATGTTTTCATCATCATTAGTCTTTCCGAAGCGGCTATCTTGTTTTTCAAGTTGGGAGACTGGAACTTGAACACAAAGTAAATTAAGAGGGCAAAAGTATGAACATGAGGTGGATTAATAGCCTGCAAGTAGGAACAATAAGTGAACATAAAAGTGAAAAGTGGTGGCCTCCCCTTCTTTTTTTTTTTTTTTTTAGGGGGCCAGGCTGTCGTATGTCGTTGTCGTTGCTTGACGTAACGCCGGAAAAACCACATGTAGCATAGCCATCTGTAGCATGTTGAGCGTGCGCTCGGGCCAATGAAAAGTCCTCTTCCTCTTGTTCTTCGAGTGCCTTGATGATGATATCAAGTGTGGAGCACTTTAGGCACCTGTGCTGCCGTCGCTCAGTGTAATGCAAGCAGAACCACTTATAAAAGTTGGAAAAGAGAAAGCAAGCGAGAAATAAAAAGAGAGAAAGGGGAAAAGAAATTAGAAAACACAAAACATTGCAAACGAGAACAAGACAGAAAGAAAAGAAAGAGAGAACCGAAGAAGACTGCCCTGTTTCGCACCTTCTTCGGGCTTGGCCCCACTAGTGCGAAGCTGCTTTAAGTTTTTATCTCTTCATTTGGTTATTTGCTCTTGTTGCTGTATACGCAGGTAAGAAATTGCCTATCACAATTCGTGTGGTTTTCACACTTGGCTGGTTTCCTTATTTTTGTAGACAGACTTTACTCGCCTGATACCTCATATGAACAATATTCGTGTGAGGTCATATGCGGCTACACAAGGTCCAAGTCGTTCCAAGAGTGTTCGGCACAGAACAGCCAAAACAAAGGCACGTGTACGAGAAGTACTGCGTCTTCGTCTGCCTCTTTCATGCTGGCAGATGAAGCGCGTGGCATTGCCTCTCCTCCCGAAAGAGCATCGCCTCGATGCGAAACGATGTGCTTGCAGTAAACAAACGAAAACCCGATGTCCGGAAAAGCATGAGTGTCGCAATGTGTGGTATGGTTTTAACCGTGTGTGCAATCTCGGGCCGTGGCTGTGGGCGTCGTGGTGGTTGGCTGCCGTCCGGAAGGACTTCCCGAGTTGAGCTTTATAGACGTTGCCTTTGTTTAGAATGCGATATTTTATTGGTGGAGGTGCGGGGAATATGAATGCACGAATGTGCTACTTGACCGCACAAATCATTACCATATGCACTTGTGTGCTTTGTACGCTCAAGTAGCACATTTGTGCATTCGTTTTACCACTACACTTTTTTTTTCCAAGATATTTGTCGGGTGCGGCCCTTCCACAAAAGGGAGAAATCATTGTGCAATTTTCGAACCATGTATGGAAAAACCTATTGAATCTTGCCGTGTGTACCCAGTGATTAGATATCTGGCATCTAGCTGCGGACATCTTGGTTAGATGTCATCATCGGTATTGCTGTTCAGGCTCGGCTTGTTGCCGCTGCTCGGGTCATCTGCACGTTAACGTGTCCAATCATCCTCAGTGCCGATTGGAAATCCTTTTGACCATAAAACTTCTTACAGTAATGTCCGTGAACACCTCATGCCAGCTATTGCCATCTGGTGGCTCCCACAAAATGTGCCGTATGCAATACGCGACTACGCTGCTGTTTGTATTTTTTTCCCTCTCGCACTGCCAAGTTGGGGGGAGCGACCGTTAACCAAGTGCGGCCCGGGGTCAAGTAATTCTATTTTTTATTAAATGCGACTCACAAAAACTGACAGCTCATCTAATTAACCTCTGGAGATTATACTCAATTTTTCTTCATCTCATATTCAGAGAAGACCTCATGTTCTGGTTTGGGCAAAATTGAAAGGATTTCCCTATTGGCCAGCAAAGGTACGTACCGCATGTGGCTAGTATTTAGTTTGATTTTGTCTAAGGTTGAGGGCACAAACAGAGCCTTTTTTTTTTCTCAAGCTTTGTTGTGATGCTAGATATTGTTACCGTTTCTGAATTGTGTGCATTGTCTTATTTTAGGTTCTTTCCTGAGAGGTTCAATAGCTGTGACTGCAGCATTGCTATGTTGAAATCGCGAAATACTCATACTATAGAACAAGCAGTTGTCATTGCCAATCCCAGATACGCTGCGACATGGCATGGTTATATCGAGCACTTACGCATCGCAGTTTTTGTACTAAAAAATTGATGTTCGTTTGAATCTATTGTACTGTACTTGATGCAAAGTTGAGAAATATATATACAGTATTTATTTGAATCTAGGCTGACCCCCGACCCAAGCCAACCCCCAAAAGTCCAAAGCCCAGAAGAAAAAAAAAACTTACTTCGAATGTAGGCTGAACGAAACAGTGAAGACATCCTTTACAAACAGAAAACATTTTTTCAACAAGATGAGAAACAAAGCAGTTGGTTCATGATGCAAATAGCTCTAAAAGCGTACAGCCACTAGATTATCCTGTTGCACGTGTTTTCTTTGTCATTGTTTTTTTTTGCGCTGCTTCTAGTTATTTGCATCATAAGATGCTGCACTCATTGCGAGTCGCCGTCACTGCTTTCCTCGTCGCCAACTTATTTTTCGCTGTCTTCAAACATTGCGCCATCAAGCGCATTGAATATGCCAATCTTAAAAGAGCGTACAATCCAAGTTCCCGGGTTGTGGCCTCACGCTGCAGCTCTTCCTGCGACGCACATTTTTTTCGTCCACTCCAAGGTCCCGCACGGCTTGAGCATCGGACGACTATGCTGCTTGGACAACTTACCTTTTATAAGTGGCACTATAAAGACACCACCTGTATGGCACCACTAAGCTACACTTCACACAGACCACTCAAAGTGCGTCGCAAAATGACAGACGGCTCACCTGAATAGCAGATCAAATGGCGGCTTCACGTATGTACTTTAGCCAGGTGTGTTGGCTTGGCTACTGACCGCTATAATACCATCTAGGTGGTGCTAGTTCTGCACCACTTTTCCCAATGAAAAATGCCACATTTTTCAAAATCTTCGAATCTAAGCCAACCCTGGAGGTTGATGCAAAGAAATTTAAAAAGAACTATCGGCCTGGATTCAAATAAATAAGGTGTATGTATGTATGTGTGTGTTTGTGTGTGTGTATATATATATATATATAGATATATATATATATTCTAACAGGCGAATTCAAGTTATACTTTTATTGACTAGACAGTTTCATGTTTGAAGCTTCAAAGGGAACTTCTTTTCCTTCTGTTTTTATATTCTGTTTTTGTTATAACCATGTTTAAATGAAGTTTTTTAAGTGCCGATAGTTTTGCTAGCCTTGTACCATGTTAACTATCCTTGTATATAAATTGTCAGTGTATTAATTTCAGGTAATGCGCCTTCAAGATGGTAATGTTGATGCAAGGTTTTTTGGTGCCCATGATAGGTGAGTACTCACTCTCACTCTTTGATACCTGCTAGAGTTCTGTGAGAACTTTGAGAGAAGCAAGGCTGCTTTGACAGCCAATATATATACTTCAGTAACACCCCGATTCAGAAGCTGTGTTAATCCCCAGTTTTTGGGTTTGATAATTGGCTGTAGTGGATACGTGTCAGTGTTATCAAAGACATGAATACTTTTAGGCTGCTATTTAATTCACTGCATTTGATTTAGGTAGCATTTTTTGACACATTTCAAGACTCTTTATGTGCAGATATTATGTATTGTGTAGAGTACTTATGTGACTCTATGTGTAAACTCGCTGTAGAGCCTGTCAACTCACAAAGTCCTTCATTTATTGGAAGTCCCGCATTAAAATACATTTCCTTGAAACTTGCATGATTTTGTGTGACGAGTTGTAGGCTATTATGTTTGTTATTAGATGCGAACCAGCTCTTTGACTAGCCTGTGTAACGCTGTTTGTCCATGTCTCCGTGTCAACACCCCGCACCGCGCTTCCTTTGCCGCAGGTTTTGGGCCGGTGCCAAGTAGGTCACACCTTCCCTCGCAGTGCGCGGTAACATCACTCTCCCTCGCCTGTCGCGCGCTCGCCGTGTGTCACATTTCTCTCGCTTCACCATTTCTACCGCTAGCAACGTTCGAGGGCACATCCAGTGAACACTCTTTCGGCTCGCTTATCTGTGATGGAGAGGATGCCGAAAAGTGAAGCTCCTTCGCGTGCTGAAACATGCGCCAAAGCAATTTGGCCCAAGCCAGCCGTTCGCCGACGTTGCGAGGGTTAGCAGAGCCGATTGTGTTCACGATTAGCGAAGTCGCGCCTGCAACACCGCCTAGGCGCGAGTTAGAGAAGCCGAACACAACCGTCGGCAGCGGAAGACCAATGGCACCGACGAGGCGTGAGTCAAAACTGCCGATCGCGTTTGTGCGCAACGCTGCTGTTTCGTGTCCCATCAGGGTTTCTTTCAGGAAGATGTAGTTAATTTTATGTATTAGTGATGGAGTTTTAAGTGTCCTCATGCTTGGCGTAGCTCCCAGGGCTGTCAACACTGCAGTGAGAAAAAAGGTCATAGCCCGTGACTTCATGAGTAAGTATTTCAAGATTTTTTGGAGTGGCTGTGAAGAAGTTTTACAGTGATGATGCAAGAAAAGATGAGTGGACTTAGAAGTGAATGGATCGATATTATTGGTACAGATCCATCTGAAAGAATGGTGCTAATTCAAACACGAACAAGGGCAGTGCAAAAGTACAAGGATAATTGCACTCACAATGATGCGCAGGGACTTGATGTGTGTCAGTGCCCTATCACTCCTCTTTTCAGACGAGGAATACAGTTTCCTACAGCTATCGTAACGATTCATCCTTCTGCTTTTATCATCGGTATGGCATGCAGCTGCACTATCTTCCTTTACAACCCCTCCCCCTTCTGCCTAAGCTATATATTTGTGCATGCATAATGAAAGCTTTGTTGGCAGTCTGCACCTTTCCTCAGGGGATGTTTCTTTGGCTGGGTTTTTTTTTTTTTTTCAGATGAATGTGGAAGTTGTACATTGTGGCATGCATTAAGGAGGGTGAAATAAAACAGATATGGCATGCTGAATACTGCCAATAGTTGCTGTGCAGAGAAACTAGGCCTACACATGCAGTGGTCTAATACATACCTGTTAACTCTCCTACTCTCGCGAATGTTGTCTTAAGTTTCATGGGAAACAAATTCTATTTACAAAAAGGTTTCGCTCTGCACTCTCCAATGTTTCTTTGGAAGCTTCCTGATAGTGATTGAAAGACCAGCAGCACGCAAAAGCGAACAGTGGCACTGTTGTTGGCTTCAGCTGCTGCTATCCGCTTTCATCCACTTGTCCAGCCGTGCTATTCAGTTTACTCTTGTGCAAGAGCCTTTAAAGGCACCCTTGTTTTTTCAACATTTTAACTAAAATGCTTGGCGATTTCAATAATTTAGACCCAATTTTTCAAATTCTGGCAGCACTAAAACCTAAACTCAGGCCAAACTATTTCGTCTTAGTTGGCAAAGCAGACAAAATCAAACTGAAGGACAGCATGAATGAATAATGAAACCGTGTTTATTCCGCATAGTAAACTAATGCACTGAGGGTGCTGCAGTGGAGAGGGAAAGAAGCACATGGCAGGAGCGTTGTGCCGTCACAGCACCGGGTTGTCGAAGTTGTCATGTCCTTTTAATTTCGTTTTCTAGCCCTAGCCCTGCTGCATTTTCGTCAAGACAGTTTTAGACATGCTGGCGGGGCTAAGAATGAACATGGTGCTATTCGTAGGCCACTGTCTACACAAGCATGTATCATAAAGAAGACACCTTTGCCGCTTACAGGGCATGGGTCCCCATGGCCCAGTGCTTTCTGCTCTCCAAGGAGTCCCCGACGGACATCAAGAATCGAAAGAAGGGCCTCCACAATGCCGTTGAGGAGCTGGAAATCTACATTCGGAAGTATCGCGAGAAGTTTGGCGAGTATCGCTACAGCGCGCCCCGAACACCACTGACGGCTGAAGACTTTCAATGCTCTCAGGCATCACCCCCGCCAATGAAACAGCAGCAGCAACAGGATCAACAGAAGGAGGCATGTACTCACTGTCGCTGCTTTTCAACGTGTTTAATGTATCGGTGCCATAGCAAAGCTTACACGCATTGCTTGAAGTTGGCTGGACGCATCGTGCTTTTGGCAATTTGAAACTTGGCTATAATGTATCGGTGCCATAGCAAAGCTTACACGCATTGCTTGAAGTTGGCTGGACGCATCGTGTTTTTGGCAATTTGAAACTTGGCTATCATGTTCTACTAAGTAATTTGAGTGTGATCTGGTACTCACACAACCAATCAAAAGACTTACAGGCCTTTCCATTGCCATGGTAGTGTGTGGGCATGCGTGTGTGTGTGCATGTGTGCATGCTTGCTTTCTTGCTTGCATGCACACACATAATTGTGTTTGTGCCAAATTGTGCAGAAGCACGGTAAGCTGGGCCAAATGGTAATGGTGTTTCTTATTCGTGTTTAGTCCTTTTTTGCAAGCTCCGCAGTGAACTGAAGTGCACTTTGATTACTTTACTAAGATGAGTTATGCAATAGCCTTACACCCAGTTCTCTTATATGCATATTATGTTCAAGATGCAAAAATGTCAAACAGGGTTTTTTTATCTCTGATAATGTGAGACAACTTTCACTTCAGTTTGCAGAGAGGGTTGGTTGCTAAAACCACCTGTAATAACATATAATACTATTATTTCATAAATGTTGGCAGCCACATTAGCCTTGCACTTTTGGTACACTATCACTGTATGCTTAGTATGCATAGATGATTCATTCTTATGTCATGCATGATGCAATCTGTGATAAATTTAGCATCTCGCTCAATTTTCTGAGAAGCATTGCTCAACATCGTGACTATTTTGTGAGCAAGAATTTGTGTGTTCCGTAAAATATCGAGCAAGCGCACCCACTGGAGCAAGCGCCCCCCTCCCCTTTTCGGGAGTGTCAATGACCGGTCCGGGACTGAGAATGCACGCCACTCCCAAATCTGGTCGGGTTATCCTTCTCTGCCGAGGGGGCGCTTGCTGGGCATTTTACGGTATACACTTGAAGCGCTTGCCAGTTCGCACTTATCTGCAAAAATTATATGCCCCTAATGAGGGATATCTATGCGCTAACACAGCTTAAATTAGGAAAAGGGGGAGCCGTTAGCTTTGCAATCTTTTTTGCTTGACCTTTTTTTTGTAGGTTCCCGGTGGTATCATGCCAAGCCTTGGCGTTTCGTCACTTTGTTGATCAGGGTATAGTGAGGGCTGTACTGACATTTGGTTTTCTATTATTATTATTACTATCATTCTAGAAGGAGAGTGAAACATCAAGCAAGTCTCCGAAAATGGCAGAGGACAGTGAGCTTAGTTCAGGTGAGCGTGTTGCTTGTGCTATGCTTGTTAGAACTGTGTATCAGTGACTTTTGCCCTTTGGTACTTATGTTATTTTATCATTTTAGAACTGCTGTACCTAGTGTGTTTTTTTAAAGCAGCTTGTGTTTTGCATCATCTTACTGTTGGTTCCAGCCCTCCAAGGCACTGTGTGGTGCTGTTGTTGGGAAGCGTAATGTCCCTGCAAAACATGATGACAGAAGTCGCAGAGCAACTTGAGAAATAGTCATAGAGAAGCAGATGACCATTAAAGTTGTAGAAGGCCTGTCATGGAGCTCTGTTCATGTTTCTGTATTACACATCGTCAAAGAATCCCTGATTGAGTGAAGATTTCATAGCCTCCCCATTTCACGGGACAGGATTAGGTTGTTCCAGACGTTTTTGTTTTGGCCTCATGATGGGCTCAGGCCAGTGTTATATTTAGACAAAGTTTTGAAACAGGAATATAAGACTATATTAAAAGAAAAAAAAAGAGCATAAAAAAGCTCCTTCTTCTTGATATTGTGAGGGTACTATCCCTGCCTTTAATGTCATTTTTTCCTTATGGCACACGTGCATCTCGCGAGTTGGTGTAGCTAGCGTACCCACCGCCATGCAAGGTACGGTGCTGCTCCTGCAGTAATGTTGCCCTGTCACTGAGGTTAGGCACACACATGGGGAACGGAGACAACTCTTTTTTAGAAACTTGGCACGGTCATAAGCGGTCATCTGAAGCGGGAAATCCGCGGGAACTGTTATGCAGTTCAGTCTCACAGACTTGTGGTGTGTCGAACGTTCGTGATGGCGCATGTGTGGTACATTCTGTGTGTTAGGTGGTTTGTGGGGGCTGTATCGGCATTCTATTGAGTTATCGGGCATTACTGAACTAGTTATATGTAAGATTCAGCTGACAGGCCCATGGTTATCGAATTGCTGTGAATAAATGTCCATGTGTTTGTTACCCTACGGTGCACACTGTGTCCATTTATTTGGAGAGCTGTCATCAGACCTCGGAATGTAAACAAAACAGATATTTGTTTCCCTCAGCTCCATCATTGGATCCTCCTGAGAAGGACTTGCAGAGCGACACGAACAGCTCATTGAAAGACAAGTCCGCCGCTAGTCCGGCGAAGGACTCTCTGAGCAGCACGCCAAACTCGTCGAGGTACAAGTCCGTGACCAGTTCAGCGAGTTCAACTCCTTCGAGGGTAGAATTCAGGAAGGAGAGCGAGCTCATAACGCCGCTGCTAACGAGCAAGAAGGAGGGGTCGAAAAAGGAGAAGGGGGCACTACCGCCGCTTCCTGATGGTGCACCGCAGGGAATCTTCGAGGTCAGTTCCGAGCTGCCCGGAGAGCTGCAGATGAAAGTCTCCAAAGAGGACATGGAGGACATTCCAAAGAAGCTCAATCGCAAGTTCGAAATCTTGAACAGTGCAGTGAAGAAGATCGAGCGCTCCATCAGCACAGATGGCAGTGGTTCCACGCCGGTAAGTGAGTGCCGCCGATTGTCCTCCTTGTTGCAGAGATCATTCGAAAGTTGTTGATAGCTACACCTGTTTAGCACCACACTTACGAGAACGTCAGTCCAATCTATGGAATACAAGTTCTTTGGCCCAAAGAAGGACCACATTGAGCACCTATTTCTTTGTTGTGTCCCACTTTGGCTGGCTTTAATTTTAATTTTGGTGAACCACCATCCAATTTGACCTTATTGAAATAAGAAAGTTCTGGTTTCGGCTTCCTTGCTTCAAAAAACATTCAGTATCAGTAATTTTCTTCATGACTTAGATTTACGGGCATACAAGTCTGCTTGCTTCCTTATAACAATGAGAGCGCGGGTTCGTATCCCGGCTGCGGCGGCTGCATTTCCGATGGAGGCGGAAATGTTGTAGGCCCGTGTGCTCAGATTTGGGTGCACGTTAAAGAACCCCAGGTGGTCTAAATTTCCGGAGCCCTCCACTACGGCGTCTCTCATAATCATATAGTGGTTTTGGGACGTTAAACCCCACATATCAATCAATCAATCAATCCTTATAACAATGGTTATAACTAATGACCATGAAAGTTTAGTTAAAGGGACCTCTAACCAGATCCAGGCTTTTTAAAGCGTTAAGTGTTGCACATAGATATCTAGAGTGGCAACAGTCGGCGTCTGCTGTCAGAGGGAAATTATGTGCACCCCTTTAGGAGCAGCCCTCCTAGTCAGAAGAGATGGTTGTTCTAGCTGCCGCCTTTGAAGCACAGTTGCACGCAATGCAGAAATAGCCTGCAGCAACGTAAACAACTGTGACATTCTAGTGAATTGCAGAGTGCAAGAAAGGAATGTCACTGAAAATAAGTACACCAAATAGCCAGAAAATAGAGTGGCATATAAGGTTCAGAGAGAAACAACGTTGATAAGGTAAGGCATCTTGGTTACTTTAAGTGGAGCCCATCGTCCAGTGCTTCACTGGCTATTGCAGCTTGCCAGGCCTAGTCAAGGGTCATCACTTGGCTTCCCAGGTTCGGTTCGAAGAGTCTCGCTTCCCACGACCAGCTGTTGAGTCTGTCCTTAATTAACGGTGAGACAGCGTCATAGACGACGATGGAGGAGACCTTTACCCCGCGGAGGGAAGCAGGTTCAAGTCTAGGCACTCGTCGACGTAATGAGAGGAAACCATTACCACCAATGAGAGGAAACCATCATAATGAGAGGAAACCTTCTGGAAGGGTAGCCCATCGTCTTGCGAAATCACTTGCAAAGTTTCGCTCGCTCCTGTCTCTGCTTCAACCAAACTGTTCAAGAGTGGTTGTGGCATACTTACACGCCTCGGTGTTTTATATGCCAAACTCCTGGTTCGGTATGGTGACGGGCTACATCACTCATTCAAGTAAACATTCTAGTCTCATTTGGTTGACTGTGTTTTCGCAGCATATTGAAGCTACTCAATTCATACAAGGGGCTCAGTCAATGGGAAGCTTTTGTCTATGCTGGGAGAAACAACACGGTCGTGAATGCACATTGTGTGTAAGTAATCGAGATCTGTACGGACTTAGCATTGATGCAGGTGTATGTGTTTGTGGCTACCACATGTGTCTGTGAATAATGCAGTTGAACATTCTCAGCTTTTAGGGTTCGTGCGAGTACACTCGGTCAGGGGCCCTCTCATATCTGTACTTTAAAATCTGGCAGTGGACATACTCCATCACTATCGCTGCATTTATGATCACATTTATGCTCTGGACTGCCTTAATCTTTCTTATTGTTGTCACTCATTATCAAGCCTTTTGGTTCACCTGGCTACTCTTTATCATGTCATAAGCGTGACGAAAGTATATCACCTCCAACAGGTATGACTATATTGCACTACCAGGTAAATTGATTCTTATCACAATCTTCCTCAACGAAGGTGAAGGAACGCATCATTGAAATTTTCAGACTTTTCATTGAGCATGTTTAGAACAAAGAAATCTTTCTTAAAATTTGCACTTTTCTATCTGTTGCATTCAGCACTCATGCTAGACCATCACCAACGTGAAGTTGTTTTCTTCTTCTTTTTTTTTTCTCCTGAAGTTGTTTTCTTCTTTTTTTTTTTTTTTTCGTGAAGCACACTGTAGTGCTGACTTAGTGTTGAAAGCATCAGTTTTCGTCGCCCTACTCTAATGTTTTGGCAAAAAGCATCTTGGCCGTCAAGCCTTAAGAATCCTTAGCTGGTCATGAGCTGACTGGTAACTCCAAAGTAGGTAGGACATATGACTTTGTACACCATAATTTTGAATTAACCTTTATAGTTGGATTACAGCTTGAAATGTGAATCTTCTAAAGTATACTTCATTCTGGCTCCATTACGTAGGCTTTGAAGAAAGCCACAGTAAACTGTTTTCCTTAGTACTTTCAGGTCTCGTCGACATATACTTAATGAGGTTAGGTTTATATACGTTGGTAACTGCACATCACAAGCAGTGACATAAGTAAGCGAACACATCACTCAGCAAATACAATTGGAATAAAATATTGTGCCTGAACCAATGCATTAGTAAGTGTCATATGCAGCACTGCTGCCATGGTGCACCTGTCAGAGCAATACATTCTGCTCTAGCGCACTTGCTATTTTTCATACTATCGCAATAACAGTCAGTGCCTTCAGCAAATACAGTTTGTACCGTGTTAACGTTCATGGAGGTGTGTGATTTGGCATACTCTATTAGAATACACCTGTGATATGCAAATTTGTTTTACATTGAATAACCCCAGGACCGTTATTTTATATTCAAAGCATTGCCTAGCATTGCGTTTAGTGATTCCACGTTCAGGGCATGCTTGTTTTACCGCAGAGCTTGAAGCTCGGGCTTCATTTATTGTTCGAAGGTTGCCGAAAACGAGAAGAGCGGTGCCGATCGAATCGTGGCTTCGGCAACCGGCGGCATCCCAAAGAGCGGTCAGAGCCCGTCGTCGTGCGAGGTCTCGAGCACGACCGTCACGACAGACCAGGGTGAGGTGCCGTCCAGCCAGTTTGCCGCGAAAGAGGTGCCCTCCGCCGAAGAGCATCCTTTAGCTCCGGCTGATGATTTCCAAGAGAAGCTTAAAAAGACCATCCTCTCTATCAAGGAGAAGGTGGGTGACTCCTCTGGCTATTAATCGGAGCCGTGCTTCCTTCGTTCCACACGTTTGCCATTGAAGGCATGTGCTTTTTGGCAGCTTCATAGTGCTAGTCCGCGAAATTCCTTAACATCCAGTGTGCATAAGTGACATATTTCAAGTTATAATCTTTTCTTTTCTTTTTAATGCAAGAGCAATGTACAGAACTTCTTGAACTTTGCAGCTTATTGATAGCACTGAGCTGAACAAAGCTTTCTTTAAAACTGCGTGGAACACATTGTGGTATGAAACGCTTTAGGGCTTTGTTTCAACGTAGTTGAGTTTAAGACTGACATCGGTGTAATTACTGTCCACTGCGAATGAAAACCTCTATCGGAAGCCACCATTCACCGTTGCCTTGCTTCGTCTGGCTCTGTCCCATGCCTGCAGGTCTTGTAATTTCATCATACTGCTTGATATTCTGTCACCCTCCACTGCATTTTTCTTCTGTTGGTACATAGCCTGAAGCTCAAATAAAGCAACAGTTTTGTGTACAGTTGTGGGCAATATGAAAGTCAACACTGAATTTGTGCTTAAGCAACAACTACACATGAGGAGCGCATAAGGATCGACCGAATTTGTGTGCAAGCATCATGAACACTCTTGTGCCTTTGAAAGGCGTTTAGCCACTGTGGCCTTTTGAAGGTAATTTCAGCGTTGTCTTTCGTACTGCTCAAGACTTCACTGTACATATTATTGCATGAGGGGCCTGTTTCTATTTCTTATCTTGATCCACACTGAACTATCAGCTACTCATATTTGTGTTGTTATTCATATAGTTCTTGTCCTTAGGGTCTTCTTCTCAAACTTCCTTATTATCTTGTTAGTTTCTGTCCCATATATAACATATTGTAAAATGCCAGTTAATCAAACAATAGCTGTGTTATTAGTGTTGTCATTAAAGTAATAGTCTCAAGTGGATTTTATTAAACAGAGCAGGTATGTTAGGGCAAACTAGAGTACGGCGGTGGCAAAAGTTATCACGAGTAAGGAGCTCAGATAAAAATATGATCTATTGACATTACTTAGCTACATAGCCCGGTGTTGAAGTATTGTGAGCAAGGCTAGGCAGAAGCATTGGCAGTTAACGAGTCTAGTAGCGAGAATCTCAACATGCATGCATGCATGCATGTCGAGAAATGTGAGCTCAAGAAATGTGAGCGAAGTGCTGAAGAGTGTTAACGAAAAAAAGTTCACGCCAGAATATTTTCTTCAGAATGACTATAAAAGCCCCGCTCTGCTATCATTAATGATGGAAGGCTATCCATGCGACATTTGTAAGAGACATAAATGCCAGAGCTTAAGTCGCAGCCAAGTTGGCACTGACGTAACCATCGAGTTATATGCTAATACAAGGTTGATGTAGGTGAATGCATTGAACACAATGGCACACATGAGTTACGAATGTTGTGAATTGATGCAGAAGTGGAGAATAGTCTCTTTAAACATGGAACGTGGTATAGCCAAATTGCCCCCTCGGTAGCTGAAAACAGGAATTGGCGTGGTGAGATATTTTTTTATAAGGATGTCGAGTGTAAAGTATTTAGGAAGGAGTTGGTTCTAGTCATCGAAAGAGAGGCCAAAATTTTTCAATAGCCCTTGTTTCAGAAGTGGGTGCTTCCGCATAGTGTTGAACTTAAACCTTCTGTTGCAACTTTGTGTTTCACGATTACCTAGCAGTTGAAGTCCTTTCTATAAAGCATACATGACCCCAAGCAGTTTAAACGTACAATCCTTTCCCAAGGAGTGTCACGGAAAGTCTAATTATGCAACAGGAACTAGAAACTAGCATCTAAATTAGAATTTATATCCAATTAAGAAAGCATTCAGAGTGTTACATAAGGATTGAAATCACTGTTTGGTGAAGCTGGACAATGTAAGCAACACTCAAATGCCATTTTAAAGGCAAAGTGCAGTAATCGATCACTGTATCTTGAATTATGGGTCAATCCTATCAGCTGTCTAATAGTATATGTGTCAGTGTACATTGCATAGTAATCATTGGTATGCACCCATTCCGGGAGAGGGGGGAGCCATTGCATAGAGGAAATTTTGGTGAATTGACAGTCATAATATACAAAACTAGAATGTAAATCGTACTTATTTTCAGCATGCTTGTCACAAGGTTGAAGTTTACAAACTTAGGTTAAATGCAACAAAAAAAAAAAAAGAAACTCTCAATGCGACTCTCAAATTCATTTAATGCTGGACATATTCTTAGCCAACTTACAAACAAACATCTGCATCAAGGTTTCTCACTGACAGATGCAGAAAGTCATAGATTCATCACTTAGTCTGGAGACATTCATAGGTTAGTTAAGGGGTTGGGTTTTTGACACTGTGCCAGAGGTCGCATGATCCAACCCCTGACTTAGAAAATTCCTAAAGGTTTCAACACATGAAGGCGTGTATTTTGCCAAGCAGTAATATATATAGTTATGAAAAAAGGAAAACACAGTCATGCTTTAAATAGTAAAGCACTTGTTCTGCTGTAAGCACTGATTAAATGGCTCACAAGGAAGGAGGATGTCTATGACCTTTGTTGAGCGTTGAGCCAGTGCCAGAGGGGTGATGGCATGCAACTAAGGAACTTAGATAGTTGGCTTCGTGCTTGAGCAGGCGTTGGAGATGACCATGCAGCGGGCATTTTACGCGCGATTGTGAATGCCTTGATGCGGCATCTTGATGTGACATGGTGAGATGCACCATTGCTGCCAAATTCGCTGGCCACTTCAATTTTCAAAAAAATGAAGTGTGTGTTGGTAGTGATTTGCGAGAGGTTGAAGTCATGGTAATTATGGTTTAATCACATTGCAGGATTCGAATGGAAAACCTGTAGTAGCCATGCATGGAGATGTTTTTCTGATCACCTTTGGAACCACAGCACAGATACCCTGGTACAGCTGCCTACTGAGTGCATTTTACATCATGGACTGAAAACTTTTTCTTGAGCTGGCAGATCATTTATTCCTTTTTTTTTTTCTCTTTCTGTATCTTTCTTACGTAGTTGAAAAAATATTCGTACTTCAACTGAGGCGAATTAACGAGAAACGAGCAATGAAACATTGTCTGTGAACCGATTTTTATCTTGCCTATTAGCTGGTCAAGCATGGCATTCTTGTAAGACACTGTGGGTTTCAGGTTGGAGGCGCCACCACACTTCTAGAGGAGCCAGCTGATGAAGACGAAGATATGGAGGAAGAGGAGGATGAAGTGGATGAGGAGGCAGATGACGAGGAAGACGAAGAGGAGGAAGGAGCAGCGGCGGAAGAAAAGGCAGTGGACACCAGGCAAACCAAGGAGAAAAGCCCTGACAACTCTTCTCCGCAAGAACCTCAGCAGGCAGAGAAGGGCGTAGCCGAGCCCGAAGGCAGAAAGTCGCCGCTGAAGCCGCTGAAAGCAGCCGCTACTGCGGAAGAAAAATCAAGCCTTGCGGAGCAGTCAGAAAAACTTGTTCCATCCGCGGACACTGTAGACAAGGAAGAGGAGACTGTGAAAGGTACTGTAGGGGAATACAACTCTTTATCAGGAGCGATAGCTATGTGTGGCATGTAATTCAGCTAGTTACGGAGTATGGAGGGATGGGGCTTTTGATTTTAGTGCCACATTTTCTGCAGTATATTTTAGATGCTACATATATACGTGGAAATTTTTTCAGTTTTGGTAACCGTTCATGGCATCTAAAAATGCAGACTTGTACGTGATTAGACTTAGCATTATTGTAGGCTTGATTTCAAACAAAAAGGTAGACCTGGCATAATTCTGTTCTTACCTAGGTAAATTACTCATTAAGATCAGCTAATGAAATCAAGCAATATACGGTATAATAAAAACTGTATTACTGCATGTAAAAATTTTTTGCCTACCAGCTGTGTGTTAATTGCGGACAACCTTATCCCTCTAGGGTCGATGTTTTTTGCTAAATGCATCACAACAATGTGTTTTTATTTTTATTTTATTGCTGAAATATTCTTCAGGCGGATCAATTTAAGCAAAAAATTGTCTAAATTTTTTTTGGTGACCGGAAAGTGACAAACAAATCTTTTGTGATGTTACGTGCACTTTGTTTTTGTTTTTTTCACGACTAACGGCAATATAAATTTACTAAAAAAAAAAGCTATGCGTTCGGTGCAAAATTATGCGTTGCAATAAACGTCTGTGTAGTTCACAGATGTGCGAAAATAGGTATACGAAGTGCTGTCAAGTGGAAATACGGAGGGAGAAAAGCCCCTTTTCATCCAGTAGGCCTAATCTCACAGCACGCGCTTTTGAGGTGTCACTCACTGATCACCATCTGAATCTTGACTCGTGAGTAACGCATTGTATGGCGGGCTGACATTTGCTGAATCAGGTTCGGGTTCGCCAGTCATGCAGTTATTCGGAGGAATCACCGCTAGACTCACTTTTGCAGCCAGTGTGCACATCCACAGCCCATGCAAACTGCGCAGGTGAGCACACCAAAAAAAAGTTGCGTAGTCGTGAGCATGTCTGGAAAGCAAAAGCAAGCCCAAAACGTATAATAATCATTCATGCTATCGCCAATGAAATGGAATCTCCAAAAGAGGAAATGTATTCACGGCGGCATCATTTTTGTCGGTCAGCACCTGCATGGAAACAGGCATAGTCGTGTACCAGGGAGCAATAAACAAAATATAGTAACAAATCTGTCATCTTTTTGAAAGATTCTAAACCAGAAAGGCATCCCCCACTGAGTGTAGTTATAACGTTCAGCAGTAAGTAATACTTGAATGAATTGATATGAATATGAAACGACCACGTACAATACTAGTACTAATGTGCAGTACTGCAAAGTTTCAAAAATGTAAATTTTGAGCCCTATGGAAGAAAAGTTGTGCGAATGCACTTATTGCAGTAAACTACTGCTAATGTTTGAAATGTCTTCTTTTGGCTTCGCTTTTAGTGGTATCCTTCAGGAAACTGCTAAAACAAAACGATACATCACACTCACTAGCCTTAGCCACGAGCCTTCATGGCGCCGTTCAACAGCCTGTGAAAGACAGTGATGGTCAAGATTGATGAACTTGATAGCATGAAGACGCAAAAGACTTCATGAAAGACCTGCCCTGTGCTTCAGAACTTGTAGTCTAGTGAAACTGTGCAATAAGCAAATTGAACATCCTTTGTTTTGTGCAGTAAAGTTTACCACGAACTACAATCATGCTTCTCAAATTTTTTGTAAGGTCCTTGAAAAGTCCTTGAATTTTTCTCTTGAAAACCTGATAATGAAATTATGTATTGTGCCAGTTGAAACTTTCTGATAATATAGTCAAGAATTAATATTTTACTGCTACTACTACTACTATGGTGCAAGTTTCTAAACCTTTTGCTTGGGTTGAATTCAAGCATCTTGTGGCGTACCTGAGCATGCTTGCACAAATGGCTTTTGGACTGTTTCCTTTTTGGCTGACAGTCTTTCTCGCATTCATTTGGCAGCGTCGAAAACGATAGGACGTGCCAAGATGAAATTCACTACCAAACGAAGTGACATAGACACTCCGTCATCACAGCCCCCTTCAAGTGGAACTACCACGCCAACCGTACGTATGCAAAGTCCTTGCTGTCTTGTTTAACGTAAGCAGCACAGGGTATTGGGTTCCTGTCAAAAACCGCAGCATCAAAGTTTCAAAGTTTAGTGCTTATCTGCAGAGTTCTTGTAGGCTTGTTTAAAGGGACACGAAAGGCAAATAACAAGTCATGTCAGAGTGAAAGCGCAATGTATGACGTCTAAAACGGCAATATTATCACTAGCAGTGCCCTACTTAACAAGAAATTAAGCTGAATATACCACATGACAGGCCCCATGAGTGGGATATTTTGGAAATTATCTTGATGTGGTGAGAGAGACCGACTACAATTGATCACTAGTAATCAAACTAGCTGCAATAAAAGAAGAACTTTCTACGCAGCAAGAGATGTCATAAAATGCTGCTTGTCCAATTTTGTTAGATTTAAAAAAAAAAAAAAGAACCATAGGACGTTACTATGGGGAATGGCAGGAGTGACTCAAAAGCTTCATTTTCGCCTGGTCAAACTGGACAGGTCGTGCCATCTGGCAGGGCCCGGTTGAACCAAGCGTGCCTGCCATTTTGGAGGCCATGGCAGAAAATTGTTTGATGACCGTTGTTGCTGCTGTGGCTCCCGCTACTTTCGCTCTGCTGCTACTAGTGTCGGCCACCGCGCAGTTGTGCATGGCAACTGTGACATGAAAGTGTCCACTTTGAGGCCGGTACTTTGAAGTGCGCTAAAGCGATGCGCACCACTAAAACGTGACTTTATTTAAAAATGACCACTTTCTTGGCACAAAAGTGGCAGTAGGAGGTTTATGGACCACTATTTCCGCGATCAACATCGACTTAATATTTGCCTTTAGTGTCCCATTAATGTAATCGATGCAGGGTGTCGCGTTTCTATCAAAGTTTAGCGCTATAGTTTTCAAGTAAAGGCCAGGAGTAACGCAAACTGCATGTGTTCTAAGGAACGAACAAACATGTCTATGTGTGTATTCCATGGCATAAAAAAAAATGAAGGAAAAAGTTCTGGGCTACTCTAAAACCTTCCTTGCAAGAGGCCTTGGTGGCAGAGTGGTTACATCTCCCAAAAAGTTCCTGCCGAATTTTTCACATATTCTGTCATATATCCTCCGTTTCATATGATGCTTTTCATGCAAAATAGACCCTTTTCATAACCCACAAGTGTGCTTCCAGGTGCTGCTTATTCTCCCAACTAATGGCGGCAGATGTCGTGCTTCAAGTGACAGTGAGGTCAATGGTTACACGTTTTCGGGCTTGTTCATTTTTGCTTGTCTGTATAAACGGAGCCGAGTCTGCCCTTCCCGCGTCATAGCACAAGCAAATTGCGCTTAAGCACGCCGTTTCTTCAAGTGACTAGCCGCTACTAGTTGGACTAACTGCATCGCAGAAAACCTTGATTTACAATTGGAAAATTATCTCTTGTCCACAGTACAGAGGCTTTTGCTGATTTTGAGTAATTACACACCTATGTTACATTCTTTTGGAGTAATTTTTGTTTATGAGGTTTCTCATGCACTTTGAGTGAACAAAAAGTCTGTTACTGTGAGCATGCGAAAGACAATTTAAAAGCAGTCACTGTTGAGATGTAAAAGCATGAGTCAGAAGACACATAGAGAGATTAAAAAGTGCTGTGTACATTTCAATCTGCCACTAAACTGTTGGCACGTCGTTTTGACTGTGCTTGTTTGGAGCCCGAAGCAGCACTTAGTAAATAGTGATTGAAAGGCGGTTTGCTTCTTTTCTTTGTAATACTAAATGGATGCCATTGTCTGTGTCACTTTCAGGGGGAGTCGTGTACAGAGCAGGCATCCGACATTGTACAGAAAACTGCCGAAAACATTAAGCGCATTAGAGAAGAATGCGAGAAAGAGATGAAGGAATACCACCACATTCTTGGTAAGGAAGAAATGCCATTAGCCGTGGCCCAACGACACTGCTGAGTTTGCACTACTGATTTTATGCAGCTATATATAGGCAAGGTTACAGCAGTTACTGAAGAAAATGGGTTCGCCGTGTCGAGTAGCATTTGTAACATTCACAAAAGCGAGTGCTTCCTACTAGCAGAAACCGTTCGCGTTATACTGTGCCACTACCATATAAAAAATTTAGCTTATAACTCTCATGACCATATCTGTGTTGGCATTGGAGCAATTTTCTGTATACTGTCCCTGGCACTGCAGAGTATCAAAAATGGCCCCAGTACCTTTAATATTTTCATGCCTTACTTAGGCGCAGAGTTATGGGAGCTGTCGAAGCAGTGCAAAATGGAAGGTGCACTAAAGGGAAACAGTAAGTTACTTTAGGCTGACACATCTTAGCCTAAAAACATTAGTGTTGTTAAAACCACCATAGTTTTATTAATAGATAAGAAATTAAAGTTGCAAGTTTCACTTTTAAGTTTTCTACCGAGATCTCTCAGTGTGACGTCACAGATTTCAAAATGCATTATTATTTTTTTTCACCATATTTTGGCCACAACGGCTCACTAAATTTTCTAAAACTGTCTGTGTCAAGTCTGTGGCTCCCTCAGAAGATAATGTACGACATTTTTTACACGAGTGGTTACATGAGCCCTAGCAGATGCCATCAAAATCTAGACGTCACAGCCAATAAATGCAGGAACTTCAAGGCGGTGGCACCACCCGCATTTTTCTTTTTTCATGTTTTGTAGATTACCAAGCGTCTTCTCGGGCCAAAGGAGGTGTGTTTCGTATTGCGAAAGAGTGATTTGCTCATCTGAAAAAAATCATCCTTTCTTTACTGTCCCTTTAAAACACTGTTTTATTGTTTCAAATATAGTAGTGTTGGCAAAGCTATGACAGAATTCTCTAATTTGGCGAATTGGTGTTTGCTAGTTTAGTAGAGGACTCTTGTCACTAAGTTTTCTTCAGGAATTAAATTCACTTTTTTTTTCTCACGCTACAAGTGCCTGACAGCCTGTGTACGTCTTGTGATTTCTAAGCTGGGCTAGATTAGGGTATATGTTTAACATAGAAAATAGCAGACACACGATGGCAAATGCGACATGGAATAGATAGGTGTTAAACATACCTCATTTGCATTGCACATTTTTATTGTTAGTTCTTACATATGCAGTGGAAAAACATGGAAATTTAGTGTCATGCTGGCCTGGGGGGACCATTTATAGCAGAAACAAGAGTATAGTTAAAAGTGGGGAAAAAAAACAGGATTGCTTCCTTGCCACTTACTATTTTTTTGTCAGCTTTGATGACAGAGACAAACAGTGAATCTATGAATCTAACAGTGAAAATGTGGGAAGGTGGAGGAAGGAGGGGGGGGGGGGGGGGCATATTTCACATTTCCTGAAAGGGGGGGGGGGGGGGGCTTGCTCAGGGTTTTTGAGTATTTATTTTGTGCTTGTTGTGTTTTCATCTGTGCCACCAGCAGCTGGAGCCTATTCATATGCTAACAGGACAAAGGCCTCCTCCCAGCAACACCTAGTTGTCCTTGTCTTGTGCTAGCTCTTTTCAAGTTAATGCAAATCTCCCATTTTCATTACACCTTCTCTTCTGCCGTTCTCAAATGCTCTTACTTTCTTTTGGCAGCGTGCTGCAACTCGACAGACCACCAGCCCTAGACATTACATCATCTGCCTAGCTGCAGTTCCGAAAGGGGCGCTAAAGAGAAACAATGATTTAGTTTGGAATGACAAACTACACTCTGAGAACTCTAATGCCATATGTTTCACTATTATAAGTTCATTATCAACGCTGAAAACCAATATTGCAGTTGCATTTTCAAGTTTCGCACCGAAATCTTCACACACAAGGTCAGAAATTTGAAAACGTATTTTCGCTATTTTTGTGACATCAACTCGATGAAATTGTGTGAAACTCCGTGTGTTAGGTGTATGGCAAGCAGAGATGACAACGTACCTGATTTTTATTGATTCGAAGCTACTTAGGGCCCAGTAGACGTCTTCAAAATCTGTGACATCACTGTGCTTCGTGTGGGAATCTCAAGATAACGTCTCCACCCACTTTTTTTTTGCTCGTTTTCTCGCTTACCGAGCGTCGTGTTGCTGTAAGAGTGGTGTTTTCGGAATTGTGAAATCGCGCTTTACTTATACGTGAAAAATCGTTTGGCTCTTTAGTGTCCCTTTAATGTCGAATAGAATATCACCCACACCCTTATACTCCCTAACCCTCACTACCGTTTCCATGTCTCAAATGAAGCTGCTGCCATTTTTTTCTTTCCATCTCTTAATATGTTCTTATTCTTCCATAAATATCTTGCTCACGGTCAGATTCTTAAAGGACAATTATAATTCAAAATGTGCAGCTGTTTCAGGTATTGACGCAGTTAAATCTGAGAAAGAGATGACATGGCTTTTTTTGTTTCAACAGTTCGTACTCTCACTCACAGTTCTTGGTTCTTTTCTCGGTCGGCTCAAGTTTCTTTTTTGGCAGTTTCTCGAATTTACCTGTTTTAGAAATTGGCGCAGTTAAATCTGAGAAAGAGAAGACGTGGCAAATCAAATTTTCCTCTCGGGGGGGGGGGGGGGGGGGGAGTTTATCAGTTTCAGTTCTGCCTAGCTCCCTGCAAGGGGTATCACACCTGTAGTAGTGCTTCTATCTTCTTTTGTCACTTGGTCAACAGAGGTCACAGATAATGGCACATTGCGTCAACATCATTATTTTCCTCTCCTATACATTCATTTCCTCATTCCCTGTGGCACTGATTTCGGCTCTTCTATAAGCTGCAGAAGAGAGCACGTCATTTTGCTCTTGGTAATTAAAAACCACTTCTTTACTTGTTTTCTAGCACTGACGTTAAAGGAAATGAGAATATGCTTGGATCTCGAGCATAAGAAAACAAGGGCATCTCTTACTGAGAAACATACAGTAGACATGGCTGCTGCTATAGCAGAGACAAAGCGAAAACAGTGGGTAAGGAAAACTTTTTTCTTGACATTGACAATGCAAATTATTCTTGGCAAGCATGCTTTTATCTCTCTCTCTCTTGCCACTGTCAATCATGTTCATAACAGGGTTTGCACAGCGCCATAAAATTGCTGATAACCCTGGAATATGAGGAGTTCAAGGACCTCAGATACACCTTGAATATGGATGCACTCCTTGAATTCCTAAAGAAATCAGCGTTCTCCCCCTTGTGCACAATGGACATCATTTCTGGCAGGGGTAGAATATGACTTAAAATGTGGCGAGAAGCAGAAAGTTCTACAGTAAGGTAACCTGTAATGGTCGAAGTTGAACCAGTCAGAGAGGCTATTTTGCATGGGTGCTGTCGACATGCGTAAGGCATAACGTGATGTATTTTCCAAGATCAACTGTGCGCCCGAGAAAAAGCAACGACTGAAATCGGGGATATGTTACAAAAACATGGCCTGCACTTTATTGGGGGCAGCAAGTTGGTGTTACAACACCAATGTGGACTGTGCCTGTGTATTGCCATAAATGAGTTATAGCATGCCGAAATCTGGGGGATTAGTATAAAACCTGTGCTGGAAACTTAGTGTAGTTCTCAATTGCTTTCCAACCCCCCTCCCCTTCCCCCAGTGTGCCAACTGCTGGAAAGAAGCCGTGTTGTACTGTTGTTGGAACACCTGCTATTGCGACTACCCCTGCCAGCAAGCTCACTGGCCGAAGCACATATCAAGCTGTACCCAGGCCAGTAGTGCAAACCAGCAAACTGTCGTGAACAATGGTCCTGCCCCCGGAGAGGTCACTCTCGCTGCCGCCAAAGGAACCACTTCCATATTGATGCCTGCGGGCGGCTTCCCTGCCTCTACCCATACTATGGGAGGCCTTCCGTTTGACCCTGTTGAATAAACGTCTTTTTCTGTACACTCTGTTTCTCATTCTTGACATTAATGCCTTATAGAACACTGTAGCATACTTTTCGTTGGTCTCTGGTAAACTTATGTCAAACGTCAGTGGCAGAACTTATGCGACTTGCCAAAAGGCATTGTTTAGTGTTTGGAACAACTTAATTCATTGGATGGTTGTATGGGTTGGCAAACGTAGGCTCTAACATGAGTGAGCTGGACCGAGTATACATTCGGCGAGTTTGAGACCAATCGAGTCTGGCTGAGTAAAATTTGGCAAGTGTGCAGCCAAGTAAGCCCAGCTGTGTAAATTGTGGGTTAGTACGTTAGTGTGGGCCACACTAACATAAGTAGAGTTTTAATGCCTGAGCACGAATGAGGTCTCTGCAAGAATACTTGTTAGTGAGTTCATGTTCATGGCGGCAGTTCGTGGGTGATTGCAGTGGTGACACGCAGATGCATAGTAATTAAATTAGATTGGTGGGAACCATTTGATCCTTAACCATTCATCAAATTCATTTATTTTATTTTTATTCTACTATCACAATGCTGTACTTCAGTTCTCCCACTGTAAGCAGTAGCTACGGCAATAGGATAGACTGAACTGCTTTCACTTGCATTAAAATTTTATTGCTTTTAACTTGACTTGCTGAAAATACCTTGGATTGTCTCGGAAATTCTTATCAACCAAGTATTCTGCTCCTGCAGAATTGTTTTTTTTTCTCTCTCTGTTGATTTTCATGTTACATTTCAGTGACTGAATTTCGGGCTTTTCCTCATTGTAACGTGGTGTGCAGCTAATGATTGAGAATTAAGTGACAAGGTAAAAGTGCCACTGAATAAAACACACATAACGTAACTATAGTAAAGGTAACTATAGGCCTTTTAAACTGAGAGGGTGTGCCTCCTTTCTGGACTGCTGCAAGGGAGCGCGAAAACTGACATTTCATTTTCATTTATTTCATTTACGTATTTACTCTCAATGCCGTAAGGCGTTACAGAAAGGAGGGGTACAATATTAAACAATCAAGAGAAAAGACAACAGCGGGGTGGTTACAAAAAGTGATTGCTGACAGTGGACCTGAAGTGCGCAGCGTCGCTGATGGAGACGATGGAGGCTGGAAGGTGATTCCACTGCACGCTGGTCATTGGGACAAACGAGTTCAGGTAGAGGTTTGTTCGGGAGTTTGGCACACCAACTTTTAACAGATGATCAATGCGGGATGACACGTATGATGGAACTGAAAAAAGGGATTGTTTTAAGGTCTGATTGGTGTAAAATATTTTATGGAAAACACATAGGCGGGATATCATACGACAAGTTGAAAGATCAGGTAGTTGTGCTACTTGTTTCATGTTAGTGACGCTGGATGACCGGGAATAATCAGAGAGAATGAAACGAGCGGCCCGATTTTGGATAGCTTCAAGTGTGGAGACAAGATTGGCAGAATGTGGATCCCATACAGAAGAGGCATATTCAATCTTCGGCCGTACAGGGGTTTTGTAAAGCTGCAGTTTTAGTGAAAAACATAGCAGCCTCGGCAGTTCATTTTAGGTGCAAAGCATTTTAGGGGCCCGGCTTGTAGTCCATCTGTTGTCGCATGTCACGTGGTCAAGCCCAGTGTTCATAGAACCTGTTGGTCACACTGTGGTCAGGCCTTAACATGCCTAAACATACAGGCCTAAAACACGGCTGACAGTGCTCCAAACCAACTGAAAATAATCTGACAAGGCCTAAAATAATACAGGCTACAGATACAATCGTGAATTAATTGCAATAGTTTACCTAAACTAGCGAGAAACAGAACCTGTTGGTTACGCTGTGCTCAATACATGCCTAAAACGCGGCTGACAGTGCTCCGAACAAGCCCAATTAAACTGACAAGTTCTGAAATAATTTAAGCCAGAGATATAATCATAAATTAATTGCAGTAGTTTGCTTAAACTAGCGAGAAACAATACCTAAATTCTCGGCTATTACCCATGCTGTGCAACAGAGGGCGTCACCACCTCTCCAAGCGCGTGATTGTCAGTTGAATTGCTTGGTTGCCCACGCTCCGCACGTCAGTGGAGCGCAGGATTTAGACCTACGATGATAGTTATAGCGCGAGAACAAAACGACGACACAGAGACAAGAAGGACACGACACGTGTTCTTCTTGTCTCTGTGTCGTCATTTTGTTCTCGCGCTATAACTATCGTCATGCCATACCAACTAGCCCAAGCTGCCGCACTTCTTAGAACTACACCTGGGCCTGCACAATAACGTCATTATCGCAGGATTTAGCGCGGGATTTAGAACTAACTGCACCAATACCCATGAAAGAATTACATTTTTCGTTGAACACGTGTATGCCACGTGTATTCACCACAACACGGACGGAATTATGGCGACGCGCAGGGACATCTTTTTTTATAACGAAATTAACCGTAACCGCCGAATTAAAAGGTATACTGTATCAAACGAAAGTGAACAGACTGACATGAAACGAAATGTAAACAGTGAACATAAGGGGCGGTTAAAGCCCCCGCTCTAATTCATGATCATTTGTCAATTAGAACGGATACTTTATACGCCCTCTCTTTCATTTCAGAAAGCTGGTAGCACTTTTACTTCAATTTAGAGTAGTGCTTTCAGAAATTTTGGTTCCGTCTCGTTTCGACGGCGGCAACAGTCGGGCCGAACAATTGGTGCTGGCAACAAGGCAATGTAAACAGGTGATTGCCGATGTCAGGACGCGCTGATGTGACGTAATTTTCTGCAGCAAAATGCTGAGATGGTGGGTGCTCATTTACGTGTTTTTTAACTCGTTATGCTTTCTCACAAGTGAAAGAGTCAATACTAGTGATGGCCGTCAATCTGCGGATACTTTATATTCGCTTGTCATGTCTTCCAGTGCTCTGGTTCGCGCCGTGCTGATATTTTATCGTTTAGGCCTATAGGAGTCGGGTTTCGAAGGACCAATTTAATATTTGTTTTCAACGAGGAGTTATCTAGGAGTTATCTTTGGGTCTGAAAGCTAGTTAGTGATGTTTGTTGCTGGAAGTGTGGCCGGAAAGCTTTGATTAGACGTCGTGACGGAAACTATTTTGAATGCCGTTGCAACCTAAACCCGCTCTTGCCGCGCCGACTGTTGTCATGTTTGCTGTCTGCAGTGTCCTTCCCCGTTTTCCTGCAGATCATTGTGGTCAGTCTGTCGCAACGAAGTCGTCGGCAAATGCGGGGTCATGTTAGGTGGTTGTCGTGTTGTGGAAGTCATTTAGAAACGCGTTATTTTGATCCGGCGTTTGTGATCCGCTTTCAAATATTTCTCCGAGATTGGGTGGTTGCTGATTTGTTTCCGCATACCGTGCAATTCGACATCATGGGGCCGCCTCATTGTATTTGAACAATGAATGGCTCGTGTTGACGAAGCCGCTCGTTAATGAAGATCCATATTTGTGCCTACAGCGTTAAGTAACGCGGGCTCATTCACGGTGAAACCGGTTAAACAGCGGCTTCCGAGTCAGTGGTGCTTGTTTAGAAGTTAGAGCGGTGCTCAAACCGCGCTTTGAACACCTGCTCCTTGTTTTCTTTTGAGTCTTTTTCTCTTGCGCGGACGACGTGCGACGACACATCTCTCGCGCCTTTTTTTTTTTTTTTAGTTTTCTGTGTCGCGAACTTCACTATGGAGCTAGAGTGTTAAAACTACAAAGCACCTAGCAGGTGACACCGTCGGGCTGTACACTCGTACAAGCTTTAAAAGTGTTATTAAGCGCTTAAATCACATTCTGTATGCTCTAGCACCCACATGCTTCAAGTTCACGCTATTGGGAAACCTCATTGCTAGCAGCATGAAGGTCAAGTCGTGTATAGTGAACACCGTGTATTGAAAAGGTTTGTTTTGAACAGGTCTGGAACTCTCGTGACAAAATTCGTTACTGTTATTTCCATCAGTTATAAGTGTCACCGACTGACTATTACAACTACAAGCTTGGTAGTCTTGGCAAGGCTCTGGACAGCACATTGTTCTTTTTTTTTTCACAGCTGCTAGCCTTTACAAAACCGCTCTCCTAAGACGACACCTCCTTAAGCATATTTGTCACCGGGCCTTTCATTTTCTTACAGTGCAAACAAAGGCAATGCCTCAACATTTGAAAGTGTAATGCTTTGCTTTCTGAATTGCATGCTACACAACACAGCACACCCTCAGTGGTGATTTGACCTCAAGCGCAACACAGGAGTTGGCAACAGTGCATTTATACTAAATGCTGCCTTCCTGTTATTCAGCCACCATTGTGGAAGCGAATGTGTATACTAATTCTTTTATTAGCGCTAGTACCACTCACAACAACCTAAATGAAGGCAACCAGAAAAAATATCTACTGAACACTGTTCTTACATTGTACTCTATTGAAGAAATACACAGAAGCAGACCTGGGCAGTAACTAACTAGTAATGTGGCCCAGGTAAACAGGTTTTTTTTTAAGTAACTTCTAACTGTAGCTCATTACTTTTTTGCATAGTAATAGCAGCAATATTTAATTTCTCTTGGTATGCTTCCTTATAACAAACAATGACGTTTAATCAACGGAAGAAAAAAAAAATGTAGAGGTTGATAAATATAATTTATATGTCTCACGGAAAGGCAGTGATAGTATCGGGAAACAGTCATTACTGGATTGGCTGTAAAACTCTGATTGTAACACGGTTACTTGCTTTTTTGTTGGTAACGTGCCAGAAAGGACAAGCTATCATTCTGTGGTGATGTGTGCTGTCTGACAGCCATGTTCGTTACAAATGGGATGCAGACGCTGTGCTAGGTCAACGCTACCAGCATGGCGATGTGTTCGGTGCCGCCTGTGCATCAGGACCTCTACAACGACATGAGGGCACAGTTTCCGGAACTGCCGGATACTGTGATTCAGTCGTATGTCCAGCTTGTAAGTAGCCACTCCTCTTCGTATCTCATCAGTTGCTCTGTACTGAGTTCTTCGAAATAATAACCTTCGCAAGGTGTGCGAAGGCAAGCACAAAATGTCACACACATCCCGTTTCACACCTGCGTTACAGCTAGTTCACAGTTAACATTACACAGTGGTTTGACTGTTGCAACTGCAGTTAATGCCTACCACATCCTGCCAAAGTTACAAAGGCTAGCAGTAAAGCTCTTGTTGTGGCTAGTTGGTGCACTCTCGAACACTTATGGTAGAGTTCTGTGAAAAAATGCGGAAAGTAAGTAGCGTCTGCTCTCCATATTTCATGAAATCAAATGCTCTAAAAAGAGGTTACCTGGCTTGCTTAAAGGTTAATTGTTACCATTCTCACCTCCTTTTGGCGTGACGTGTAAGTGCGCTATTTGTGTTTAGCGATAACTGTGTTAATGTTAACTTTGGTAAAGGTCGGCCAGATTATGGGTATAGGAAAGAAACTTTTCAGAGCCGCTTATTGTAAAAAAGAGCATAATTGTATAACAACCATCTTGTTAATTAACGAATGCTCTAGACCATTGCAAAGTTATCAGTAAAGCATTATTTTACAGCTTAATGAGAGATCATTGACTGGTTATCTTATTTAGCTTTCAAGCAAACATTCTTTTCGTCAGAAGGCTAAATAATTCACCCATTGTTTAATTGGATTTTATGCTGTCTATCATTCTCTAACTCGCTCTTTGTATCCTCATATTTGTGTTATATATAGCAAATTTTGAGACGAGAGTTAGAGCTGTCTAAAGTTATCTCTACTGTTTTATGGTTTTTTTGTCTCTTTCTGTGTAAAGCACATTTTCATGACCTTACTTAACCATCGTGACCCACTCATTAATTACGAAATAGTTTTGTGCTTCTAGTATTCCTGATGTTCAGATACTATCATCATCATCATCAGCCTGGCTAAGTCCACTGCAGGACAAAGGCCTCTCCCACGTTCAGCCAGTTAACTGCTGCTGCCAATTTATATGATGATACTATATGATGCATCAGATCAGCTGTAATAATAGGCTTTCCTCTCGGTTGGTTTGTAGTAAAGGCATTTCATGCACACAGCATGAACATGTTGCACACCCACACGGAGAAGACAATTGTTGTAGTACACTCATTACTCACGAAACATGCATAGTAATTCAGTTCTAGTGACAGACAGACTACTTTAGTAGCTTCAGCCGCAGTGCTTGCCAAATGAAAACAAAGCTCATAATATTTAAAGATTTCTGTTCTTTATTTGCGTGCATTTCTTTCATGGCTTTCAGTTTTTGCATGTATGAACTGTATTGATGTTTAGTGGTGATAGTAGACTTGTTGGTAAATGCGAGCCCATGTTTAAAGTGCATGGTGTGAGAGCCCTGTCAAGCTGCCTAAAAGCAGCTTTTTTGTGGCACTCCTCATGATATGTATGGTTTATTAAATAAGCATCCATTGTCTACTCTATTTTATTCAGTATCCCCGTAACAGAGCAGAGTGCATTGAACACCTCACTCGAGCCAGCCAGGACCAGCTTTACAGCCAGTTTGACCCGGAGGAGGAGCTCTCCATAAATCGGGAGGGAGCGCGTTTGCCGGCCTCGCGAGTGTTCGAGCTCCTCGAGCCTCCATTCCCTGTGGATCGGGACCTGCCACCTCCGTACCCCGGCGTTCTGACACCTGTCACGCCTACTACACCAACCTCACCTCACTCGCCCCATTCGCTGCGCACGCCGCACTCGCCATCACCCAGTCTGCAGCAGCACCATCGTTCTCCTCAGGCAACCCAGCAGACACCGCCATACTTCCCACCTCCGCGACCGGGTCAGCCTCCAGCACGCATGGACTACAGGTCGCAGGTGCGCGTCTTGTACTTAGTGCGTGCTGCCCATTCTGGTCATGTGGCAAGTCTAGTTCGTACTGCGTGGAAGCAACACAAGTGAAATGTGGGACTAGCATTTGTATTCTCCTGTTGGGCAGCTTAGTGGCGGTAGTGTTGCATTGCTTAACTTGAGGTAATTTAATGGTTTCAAAGTACGAACCCTGTTTGTATTTTGAATAAGAATCATGCTAAAGAACTCAAAGTGGGGTTTCAATGACGATTTCAATGTTCCACAATGTGGTGTGTTACACAATCCATACTCTTTAAACCCCAGAGTTCAATTTATAATCTCTTATTAGATTTGCATAGTGGTCATTCTGTTGCCTTTACTTTGTTTCAGAGCAACCACTGCTACTAATAATCATATCTAGATGCTCTTCACTGCTGAAGAACAGTAAAGCGGCTAGGTGTGGTTTCGAGGCGTGGTATAGCGAGGCGAACGGCATGCATTAGTGATTTACAGGTGCCTTGTCATACATTTAGTTTTCTTAGGAATATGTTTCATGCCATACACACCGTACGGTACTTACTCACATAATAGGTGCAATTTTTTCCCAGAAAATTCGGTGCAAAGTTTAGGGTGTCCCTATTGCGCGGGTTGAAATTTCCGACTGCTGCATGGACCGCTAATAACTGAAGTCGGGAATAACTGCACCACAGCCGAAACGACCTTCTTCGTAGTCTGCACTAGCGCAAAAGGTGTTGAGCACGCAGTCTCGCGCCTCCGAAAATGAAGGCATGCAACGCGGTGTGCTTACAAGCATTCCAATTTCCAAAAATTAACATCGAAATATCTGCGTTGACAAAAATGAATGCGAATAGAAAAAAAAACTAAGAAGGGAAAGTACTATTGCGGAAATGCACTGTTTGCGTATCAAGCCTTCACGGAAATTTTGTGCGCTGATTGGTACCGATCGTTCGATTTCACGGGCTCGCGCCAATATCAGAAGACATTGCAATCAAACCGCGAAACACCATTTGAGTGTTACAAGCGCTACCCATTCCCCATTTCCTTCAAGTAGAGCCACGACAAAAAGTTTGTTGATTGTGTACAAAACTGCAACTTTGATCATGTGTGACCACCATCAAGAAGCAATCAACGCCAATTCGGTCTAGATTACAATTCGGCGTGTTGTTGTGCGAAGTAAGACAACATGAAGATAGATCGCCGAAAGTGTCACACTTAAGCACTGATCTAGAAGCAGTGCACGTTGTACAATGTTTAGGTTTGCGGCCGGGAAATTAACTGAGACAAAAGTCCGCCAAGCTTTTGCAAGTTCGCTTAGTGGTAGCAAACGCGAAAGGTCGCGTTTGAAATTTGAAAAGCTCTTAAATTTGTGGACGAGGTAGCAAACGCCATAACGACAACGCTTGGCCTGTGCCACGCTGGCGCAAAGGTTACTCTGGCCGCTCCGATACCCAGGCAACCGCCGCTCATCCTTAGTCGGCGAGCCCGCGCAGCTGGCGTAGCTATGCCATAGTCTTTTTTTATTATTATTTTCCTCGCTTCAGTTAACGTAAGAGGGCCTCTAATTGCAATTGCGCAGTTACGGTACAGAACTACTGATCACGGCCAAGTTCGAGGTGCGCCTATTCTCGTGACTGTACTTGCGGCGCTCCTATTATGAGAGCAAACGCGGTATTTATGTCGCTGGATGTCGACAGACCAGAAACAGATTATAAATGGTGACGGGCTCACTGTTTGCAGGCTGAGAATAGGCAGTCACAACAAAGCTTTCGAAGTTATCTACAGGTCAGTCATATGCCTCTTCTATGAAGAAAAACTTACAAGCAAATGATTTTGTGACGAAGGATTTTTTGAAATAAGGGCTATATTGGTAGCCTCATAGTGTGCTACATTCACAATAAGTTGCACTGTATAACAAAGCATCTTGAACATCCCGGGCACTTTGTTGGTAAAGGCATTTGACGGTATTTTGGTTGTTTGCCTCTTTTTCTGTTCTACAGAAAAAGAGAGGCCGGGCTTGCATTACATTCTCTCACTCTCTCTCTCATTTTTTATACTGTACCCTCTCCTAAATTATGTTTGGCCTTCAGTTTCCCGCAGGTATGTCTGCAACATCTCTATATGGACCCGCCTGGCCACAGCCAGGTGCTATTGACTCCCCTATGAACCGACTCCACCACTCTCCTCCTGTTCTTGATGACATGATCCAAGGTGAGGCCACTAGGGGCTGAAGAATAGAAAGACAAATGTGTGTGAATTGTACCTTTAGTTCTCCTTGTGGGTAATCCACTGGTTGCGGCAGAGGCATGGAGCAAAAATATTTTGCGAGACATTTACACTGTGCAGATGCTCACCACTTCAATGTTATTCAGTCGAAATTCATCTTTTGCACTAATTAGTTTATGCTTGCAGTAAATTGGCTCCAACGAAAAGAATCTCTGTTTCAACAGAGCTTATTGTGCGCCCTGTGTAGCTGTCGTTCCTCGTCGTGTGGTTCCTCGCTTCTGCTGGTGTTGTTTTACTACAGTAAAAGCTTGTAAATTCAGATTTCACAAGACCAGAAAAACGGTCCAAATTAACCAAATGCTGAATTATATAAAGTATAAAAAAACAACAAAATAAAGAAATGTGTATCACATTGCAATTTCATTTTTTTAGAAATACAGTCGAATCTCATTATTTCGAACATGCTTAATTCGAACTCACGATGAGGTCCTGTCAAAGCTATGTGTATTCCAATGGGCAAAAACGCCCGGTAATTCGAACGCCCAAGCACTTCCAATGGTTAATTCGAGCATACGGCGTTCCAAAAATGTTCTCAGCGCCCCGCCCAATTCCGCCGCGTTACCTGCGACACCTCAACGCTGCCCGCGAAAGAAATGAAAAGGAAAGAAAAGGCTGTGGTGGAATCTTTGCTCCATCTCAAATGCCGATCTGCGGTGCGCTCATGTCACACTTCTCCCTTATCTGTCCCTGTAACGTATAGACCCTCCTCCTTCCAATGCTGCGCACAAAGAGAGGGAAAAAAAAGAAAGCCATCGCTAAGTTTAATGATTGTGTGGTTGAAGGAAAGGATAAAGGCACTATCTTCGTAGCCCTTGCCCCTTGCAGGAGCACGCAGGAGACCCCCCCCCCCCTCATGGCAGGAGCCTTGAGGGGGGGGGGGGGATCTCCCATTCACCGGTGCCAGGCTTCCCCTTTCCCTTCCCTGCCACGTAAGCCTTCTCCATTCGACGACGCACGCGAACAGAGCAAAAAAAAAATTTCTTTAAAAGCTGCCGTGGAGTGTTGGTTTTTTCTCAAATACCAATCTGCTTCTCTCCGCGTGGAGATGCTCCTCCTTTCTTGTCACGTGCTGGCCATGCTGCGGCTGCGTGGCGGAGAGCGGGAAGCTCTGCTGCGCAGCAGTCGTCGTCGTCTTTAGAAAGTGTCGGCGCTGGACATTTTTGCGCGCAACTCTCTTGCCAGGAGAATGTTGAAGCCGAAGTAGAAATGCTTTGCGAGCTGCGTGCGAAATTGATTGACTCACAGCAAGGCAAACGTGGGCAGACGCACATAACCGATTACTTCAATTAATAACGGATGTCCTGTGATTTGTGAATAAATGTAAGTCTTCTTAGACTTCCCTGCGTGTGTTAGCTCAATGCACATGTGCCACTGCATGGAGAGCCCTCCATTTATTTAGCTTTCATTAATTATAACTTTTAATTCGAACAAATTTTTGGGCCCCTTCGAGTTCGAATTATCTAGATTTGACTGTACATGAATCCAGCAATTATTTTGCATAAAAGCAGTGCAAAAGACGCATATTTCGTCATTTGCAACTTCATTCTTGATGTGAACATGGCTCAAGATCCTCGTGCCTTAATCCGAAACGTGCTCTGAACCCACACCTTATTAAAGAGGACATGGTTTTTAAAAATAATGCTAATTATTTTTTGAACAAGTGAGATTAAGCTGGAGAGCTTTTTCAAGTTTATGCAGTTTATTTAAAGTATTGAAATATATTCTACTGAGGTCAAATATTTCCTGAGATAATTAATAATTATGTGAATTGTATTGTTTGTGCAATTGTGCTTAGCGACCATGCCTTCGGGAAAGCCCGCAGCCTTTTCGGCTGTCTACAAAAGACATTTCCGTTCATTTGCACATCAATTTTGAGGCTGCGCTCAGCACTATGAGGATTTTCCGAATTAACAAGGCGAAATACAATCAAATCAACTGGAGTTTGATGTCATTAAACTAGGGTTGTGCGAATATTTGAATGCTTCGAACATTTGAACGATGTGGCGGTGCTGACACCCCCTGTGAAAATGTTTGCGCCGCGTGGCGCACGTGTTTCGCGCATAAGCCGCATTTCGGGCTCGCAACTACCGAGCAGTAGGTGGCGTTGTGCTCGCGAGCATTTGTTAAGGGATCTCGCAGAGGTGAGAGAGCGCCACGCTCTTGGAGAGAACGGACACAGTTGACACGGTCGGTACAAACCAAAAAATACACACATATTTATTTAAGGGGAGATGCGAGTCGAAAAATCGCGTTTTTAGCGAAATTTCTCGTATTTCCGATTTTTATTGCATTGCAATCTTCAAACCTTCTTCTTTCATCTGTGAAAAATTTCAAAACTAAATTCGAACCGCAAAATGCAAAAAAATGTGTATGAAGGCATCGCGGTGGCTCAAAATTTCGTGAATTTGCGCCGATATTGGCCATCTTTGACTGCGCGCTGCTCCCCGTCGCAGTGCCGCCCGCCATCGCGATCGGTTGGGAAAGTTGCGTCCGGCCTTCTTCGTACAGCTCCGACGCCCGCCAGTTTCGTACGTGGGCAAAAAAAAACGAGGCCTTTTTATCACGTGGTTTGAGTGGCTTGAAACGCGCGGCACCCTAAGCCGCATCGCCATTGGCTACCGAGTCATTGTCAGCTGTGTTGGTGGCGGCCATCGGCATTTGGTCCGTCTGCTTTTCTGCGCGTCTACGCATATTTTCGCGATGACAAGCCCGAAAAAGTGCAACTTGAGACCGCAGAAGTTTCGAACAAAGCACAAGTTCAAGGGAAGGCGGCGTAAAGCGCCCCGAACGACGGCGACGAACGAGAATGCGCCTACGGTGTGCTAGGCCTGACGGCGGCATCGACGAGTGCGCGAGCGACAGTGGCTGCGATGAAGGGATTGACGCTGCGCTTTCTTTCGTCAGTGCTTCGGAAAAGAAGCTCGGCTTCTTCGAAAAAGACGAAAGACAGCGCGATGAGGTTTGTGCAACGACAGTTTTGTGCAACAACCTCTTGCTGACGGCACTTGTGGCAGGTGCGGCATGCCCTGCTTGCGGTATTCGAAAACTTGCCGTTCGGGAGCCGGCAGAAAAGCGCAAGGGACTTTCGTCGCTCCTCGAACTTCATTGCGAAAACAGCGAATGCTCAGCGACTGTTCTTTCGTGCTTCTATACGTCACTGCGTGTTACGGCGGACGGCAGCAGCCGAGTGAGCCAACGGTACGACAGTGGGAGCTCCCGAGATAGTTTCGCTGTAAATGTGAAGGCGGTGGTGGCTGCACGCGCTGTCGGCATTGGGCATGAGCAATTGTCGAGATTTTGCTCCATTATTGGACTCCCAAAGTCAATGCACCACCGAGGATTTTTTTCGATAGCAAAGAAGGTGCACACCGCTGCCATGGCAGCTGTGAGTGAAAACTTGCGCCGATCCAGAGAGTTGACGAAAGAAGTAGCAGGCGAAACTGATGTGGCTGTTATGTTCGACGGCACTTGGCAGAAGAGGGGCCACAAAAGCCACAACGAGATGGCGCAGTTATCTCCTTACATACTGGCCTCTGCTTAGACTTCGAGGTCATATCAAATTACTGCCTGACATGCAGTAGGCACAAGGATATGGGCCCAGACGAGGAAGTGTGGCAGGCATTCCATGGCCCAGTCTGTGAAAAAAATGCAGACTGTTCCTTCCATGCCATGGAAACGGAGGCTGCAATGCGCATTTGGCAGAGAACATTGACTTATGACACCCCACTGCATTTCATGACATTCTTGAGTGACAGTGACAGCAAAGCATTTAGTGCAGTTGCAGAGTCAAAAGTCTATGGTGCTGTCAATATAGAAAAAGAAGACTGCACTAATCATGTGGCCAAGAGACTTGGCACCGCGCTACGGAAGCTGCATGTGCCATTACCACGAGGGCAGAAAATGAAAGAGCCAGCCATTCAGAAGCTCCAAACATACTATCAGATTGCCACAACAAGCAACAGGGGGAGTGTACGGGATATGTACACTGCAGTATGGGCTTCGTACTTCCACTCATGCTCTACTGACAATGCTGGCAGCCACAAGTTTTGCCCTGCAGGAACATCAACGCGCTGAAGCACTTGGTGAACCTTGTGGTGTACACGTATCCCGAAGGAGTACGGCCACCAGCGTGGGTCCGGTCTTAGCGAGCCGCAGGGCACGCGTTAACCGTCGCCGTGGCGGGAAACACGATACTGCTCAAGTCGCAACACTTTATTGTGGCAACACCAAACGCAGTACAGCCCGTTGCAAAAAGGGCGCGGCGGGAAAGCAAGTAGGCTTATCCACGCCACGGGCACAAAGTACTACACAGGGTGCCACGAGCACGTCTCCGCGGTAAAGGTGATCCACGGAGACACCGGGACAAAGGGCCCGGTTGCTCGAGCGAGGGCAAAGGCGCTCGCGTTGGCTTCGAAGGGAGACGGGTCGGCGTAGCTAGGCCACGCACTAGGACACCGTACTGCCCTTCGGCCGTGAGTACGCAGCGGGGCAACAAAAGGTGAGCGTTCGCATCGGGCGCGAGGCGCCGTCAGCGAAGTCCGACGAGCCCCGAGCGACGGGACTCGACGGACGGAAAGATAGCGTGGCTCACCGTTTGCTGTCCCGGAGAGTATCTGCCCGCTCCCGACGCAGCGCGCGCAAACCTCCCTTGGGAGTCCCCGCGCGCGGCGCCACCGTCAGCATCCGCTACCGGGTGAGGGAGTTAAACGTCACTCCGCTCTCTCAGCGCGGCAGACAGCAACGGAGGGCAGACATGTCGGGACATGAGAACGGCAGAAAAGGCGGGAAAGCCCGCTTAAAGGCAGCGGGCCAGCCTCAATTCCCACATCCCCCTCTCCTAAATTTGCCCTTTACCGGTCTGCAAAAGGCAGCCGGGCGTCACCCATGCAGTTAAAATGACACTGCTATGAGCGACAGCTAACCTC